ATGTCACGATTTCAACGCACGCTTTAGTCAGAAGAACGACCAAATCAACATGCATGACTGCAGAATGACTGAGCCACAATGCCAGAGGTATTTGATGGGCCGAGTGCCATCCTGGACACAGACTAAGCCTAGTCCTAGGCTAAAAAGGATTTGTCCTTTTCAGCAGATAATCACCAATGACATTATAATTTGGTCTGAGGCTCGGTTTGACCAGTATTCACAAAGCTGGCCGTAAATCATTAGAGGGCAGCCTCTTCAGCAGACGGTGCGAGCTTAAATCCAAACTGCTAGGCCATGCAGTGAGCCAACACTCAGCCTGTGTGTTTGGGCAGACAGGAGGTTTATGCAGACAGAAGGAGGAGAATAGAGGGTGGGGGACCGACTGGCCTGGATAGAATGTCAAACACAAGGCTGGGAAAAGGATTAAAGCAGCCAGAGGTGGCCGAGTCCTGCACGTTTGCAGAATTTCCTCTGGTAGCTGCCTGGACCCACTATTGGGTCTTGGTGTTATTATTAAAGCAATCTAAGAAGTAGTTATTTATTTGAGAATGTCTGAATCAGCGCACCTGCATCTGCGCAGGGAATTTCCTACCTTTTGTTACAAGCCAGATGTCCACTATTACCTCAGAGATACAAGTCTTTTCAACAGATTTCAGACTTATTAACTAATTTGCCAGTAATTCATCATTGTTAATAATGGTCACGCATTACCATTTGGTCATTCTCTGTTTCAGTAATGGGCGGCACGGTGTCGCCTCACAGCAAGAAGGGCCTGGGTTTGATTCCCGGCCGGGCGTCCGGGGTCCTTTCTGTGTGGAGTTTGCATGTTCTCCCTAGGTGCGAATGTGTGTGTGATTGTATATGTATGTCTGTCTGTCTGCCCTGCGATGGACTGGCGACCTTCTGCCCAATGACAGCTGGGATAGGCTCCAGCACCCCACCGTGACCCAGAAGGATAAGCGGTTTAGATGATGTATGTATGTATGTATGTTTCAGTAATTTACAATTCTGGTCAATGAAAAGCACCAGAAGTTCACTTGGTATCAGTACTAGCAGTTCAGCAATTGGCACTGTTGGCTGACACTGTATTGGGCAAGTCAGAGATGGCACAAATCCAAAATCAAATGTCAACACTGGGCCAATATCAGCAGAAAATGCTGGCTTAGATATCGAAGGGGAAAAATATGGATCGAAATAAAAATCCATGGCCAAAACACTTCAAAACCGAAAAAAACTCGGAACAAAACTGAGAACATCTTGGTCTTCCAATGAATTCCACTATTTTATATTCATATGTTTCTGTCGTTTTGCTGTATTCTGTGTATCGAGTAGGATGTTGTGTTTTCAAATGGTATTATACCTGTAATGGAGAATTTCTTGCGTGTTCTATCCCATCTTGGTACCCGGCATAAACAGTAACTACAGAACGCTTGTTAATGCCCCTTGTAGAAATGATGAATCAGTTCCAGACAGTCAACATTCACTGTTGATCTGCTGCTGCTCAAACTGTTTGAATGCGAGTGCCCTGACGGAACAGCATTTTTAACTTTTAATCTATTTCCTCTTTTTCATTACCGTTTAATTTATTTGTCTTCAATTTTGACACTTTGCTGGAGGCCTATTTAATATTTGTTTTCTTTCATCAAAAATTTTGGCCATTTTTCTCTTTTTCCACCATTCTCGTGCCGTTCATACCACAATAATTTTCCGCTGAAGATTTTTGGTCGCCGAAATTTCAGTGCATCTCTAGAAAAAAATCTGATCCAATCTTGTAACAAACCTATCCTAAAATAGCAAACACTCACATTGTATGATGTGATATTAGCTATGCATTTCTTCCTGTGGGGTAGATGAGCGTTTGACTAGCATGATAGCCTACTTTTAGATGCTCATCTTTAGTAGTTTTTAAAAGAAGAATTATCCATTAATATTGTCCGATACTCAAGGTTTCAGTATCAGTATTGGTATCAGAACTGAAAAAAGTTGTATCGTGCCATCTCTAATTTAAACCATAGGAATCAGTTCTATTGATAGACAGATTCTTTAAGTGAATACATATGATTATGATAAAAAGTGTTCAAGTTTGGTGAATGTATGGGTATTTTAAATCTTTACTACTTCTTTCCCTTGATTATTTGTTTATTTGTTTATTTTTAAGATCCCCATTAGCTGCTATCACGACAGCTGCTATTCTTCCTGGGGTCTACTGCCCTAGTGCAATAACAATCAACAAAACAAGTCATACAAAACACAGTAGGAACAATTTGGAACATAAAATAACAGCAGAAAGACAGAAAGACGGTAAGATCAGAAAAACAGAAGAAAAAAAAACACTAAAACGGAAAAATCACACTGTTTACCCTTTTGGTGCCTGTAAACAATGCCAAAAGTTCTCTTTTTTTGCAATACAAAACCTGCTAAAGTTTCTATTCTGTGTTCATTTCTCCACAAAGTAACACACTGTTAAGATCTTGTGGCTATAAAAAATAAGTGTATGTAACCAAAACCAATATGACACAATGCCACAAACAGATGCTCAAAAACAACAGACAGCGCCCTATAGGTTCTCTCCTATGAAAGTACAGCAAGAACAACACAGTCAGTTTGACTACCCACAATCAGGTATGTACTACTAGAGTACATAGTTACGTAAGAGCCACTGTTTTCCTAACAGAAAGGAATTCTTACACCTTCGTGTCAAGATTTGCCTGAAGCGTGTTCCAAATAGTCATTACTCACTTTCCTTATTCTAATCTTGCGTGTGTACTTAAATTTACAGCCAAAGGCAGAGCATGAGACATAATACAGCTTCATAAGAGCAGCCTTCATGTATCATCATCTTCATCATTCTCCTGAACAAGCTCTTACCAGCTCACAGCAAACGAATAACCACACATGTTCTGTTGACAGTATAATGACTATGCATAAGCAACTTTCCAAACACTTTGAAATCTCCATGGTGGCTACTAAAAGAAAGAAGGAAATATGATGCATAATAAGGTTGTAAAAATTTCAACACAGTATCAGAAAATCTGAATCAAGATTATCTGAGCTGATCACAGTTATTTTCCACAGTCCTGTAAGCTTTCACAAACATATGTTTACAGCAAGTAATAGCAGAGTAGTATTTGTTTATTTGGGCTCAAGCTGAATCTGTTGTCAGTTGGGAGCTACCAAGTTTTAGTAAGCTTTAAGCCACTTAAGACGCATACAATGATCAAAAAACAATTAAACTGTTCACTGCAATTATTTATATGGCAATTCATGGTTAGCTAAAAATGTCTTGATGGTGACAGGCCTAGTTCAGGTTTTCTGGATTGTTTATAGCTCTTGTATAGTTTTGTAAAATCCCTATTTTGCACAAGGACAGGCTGCTTTGCAATCTTTTGTTCTTAAGTAAAATTAGCATTTTTCTCAGTCAAACCAATCTGAGTAATATGTAAACAATATAAGCTCTGCAGAATGAAGATACAGGGAGATTCACTCGAAAGAGGCCCTGAATATTCTGTAATAACTCTCGCTAGGACGAAGCAATCTGAACGAAACAACATGCGATGTGCTCCTCAGTATATGGAGCTTCGAACAAGCCGGGATGACCCTGCATCGGCGCGATGAGGTAGGCGCTGGACATCCGTCGCGACGTTTAACCTCCGTTTGCAACTTCCGGGTGCATACCCCGTACCCCTTCATGTGTCTGGTAAAAACTGAGATCACTTCCAGCATCACATGTAACGCAATCGATTACACATACATTAAGGTATGTCGTGTATTTTTTTGGTTCAAATTGCATCATCCTAATTACAACAGAATATTTGGGGCCTCTTTCGAGTGAATCTCTCTGTATTTTAACACACATACACAATACATCAAAAATCGAACTGAATGGCGAATATATATCAGGCCCAAATATCGCTTATCAGTGTCTCTGATTACTAATAATTGGTTGACCCCTAATCGTTACACCATTTATACATATGTCACGCCGTTCCTGACTGAACTCATGCAAAATAGTGTCAGACTAGAGAAGATGGGTCTTCATAAAATGGGCAAAAACTACCAACAAGGCAAAAGAATGTGGGAATGTGACATTTTGAGTTGGTTTCCTTGACACTGATTAAGCCTAGCTGGGGATAAACTGCACTACCAGTGATGATTCATCAGAAATAATGATGATTTTAGGTTAGCCCAGTGCTGCGGGTCATGTTTCCACACAAGCATAACACCTCCTGTAAAAGTAAAGTTAGTCTGAACAACGTTAAGGAAGGAGAACACCTATTTTTTCCTTAAGAAAAGGGTCAACACAGCAAACTAACACCAAGTGAACACACCTCTGAATAAATGCCCTCCTCATGGCTGCTGGCACTGACTTAGCAAACATGGTTCCACATCATTTTAGCCTCAATTTTAGCCACAAGTCTATTTAACCTATTTAACGCGTATTAAAAGTGGGCAAAGGACATAGAACGAGGTGTTACCGTTTGTTAGGCATTAGAAAGAACACGTTAGACGTCTGTAGTATGATAACATACATACATACGTCTGAACGTCGTGTTGAAGTTTAAAGAAATTCATCTGCTCTGAAGATTATAGGGTTTACTGTAAATGACAGCAACAGCACCCAAAGGTCAACAACAGGCTCCTCTCATCGAAGATACTGGACTTATTTGACAAGGTTGAGACTAATATGTTGTTGTCATGTTGAAAACAAAGAAGAAATAAAAGTACTGCCATCTTTCTTGTCACTGTAAAAAGTGAGAAAGTAGCTACGAAGCTTAAATTGGCTGTTATTCGAATTTTCCGTTCCACCTTAAATGCTCCAGCGATTACATCCTGGCGCGTGTACAGGCTTCAGATTGTCCACAATGTAACTCCCGCACCATTTAAGGTGGAACGGAAAACAAGAATCCAATTTTCGGCCTCGTTAAAACGTTTTAAAGCAGGCTTTTGCCTCCACATGTGTGAAGCTCGTAGGGTCGCTGTACTCTGGACCATCTACTCACCCACAACGACACACAACACGTCGATCAAGACGAACAGCTTCTTTTTCCTCATGTTCGTCATGATTCAGTTCGCTGGCTGGAGCTGGAAAAATGTCGCCAATCTGTCGATTAATTCATCTGGTCGAAAGCAGAAGGAAAACACAAACTCGCCAACCTGCACTGCGAGTTTTTCCGGCTTCGCTCTACCTGCCCAGTGCTGTTTACGTTACCACAGTGGAGGAGAAGAGGAGTTGCTCACTCACTGACTCAGACAGCTGTGGATTCAGAAAGTGACAACAAATCCCTTTCTGCGTTCGCTCAGCATCGCTTTTAACACCTCGGACTGAAACGAAGGCTCTCCGGTCCGCGTTCCCTTTTGAAGCAAGTCGGTAACGTTATTAAGTTCTCCTCTCCTCCGCTGTTTTCCATAAAAACCACGCCACAGAGTCCCTTCCCTTCCTCTCCACAGCGCCTCCACCTTCAGATGACGCGACTGAGTGTGAGAAAGGCACAGTCAGAGAGGCGCGTAGAGGAGCCTCGACCAAAAAAAGGTCTTGTTACCTCAAAAAAAAAAAACGCCTCGAGAACATAGGATACAAAAACAGCAACCAAAACCAACTTTAAAAAAAAAGAAATAGAGAAAAAATGCACCCCAACACATAACATAGACCTAAAAGGGGACCCCCCCAGAATTTTCAAAATTTCTCCGTAAGTCAGTTGTTGAGTTAACAAAGTCATTCAGGGCAGTTTGGTGTGAAATGTTCAGTTCTGGAGTATATTATCAGGTAAGGATTGTTCACAGGGGTGGTGATAGAAACCAGACGTCTGACAAATGTAATGCCTCTACAAGCTACATCACAAAAACATGATTTTTTTTTTACATGAAATGGTTATGAATGCATGCTTGACGCCCAAGACATTGTTTTATAGTTTTGAGATAAACTTATGGACATCAATGCATTTTTTAAAAAATCCATTAATGGTGGAAAGATACATGTAAGGTGTTATAAGACAAAATAGTCCCCAATGAAACTTTTTGTTTTTAGATTTACCACTATTTTACCACTATCAGCGCTACATATTAACACTCAGGAGACTCGTATAGTCCACTGGTGGTTTTATATAGTAAATAAAATGTCTATATTTGTGTTGTAGTCATTGTGACTCCTGGTTCCCATCACCACCACTGTAAAGAAAACTGAGTCAGTAAGTTTCTCTTAATTCTTAATTTGACAGATGTCATTCAGCATGGTTTGATTTGAAATGTTACATTGTAGAGAAAAATAACATGGTGTTTCTGCACTTTTGTGTCTCCCAAATAAAAAAAATCAACCTCTATGAATTTTAATTTTACCCATCACAGTCTGTTATACATATATAACATCCATCCATCCATCTTCTAAACCGCTTATGCTCCTGGATTGTGGGGGGTGCTGGAGCCTATCCCAGCGTTCACTGGGCGAAAGGCAGGAAACACCCTGGGCAGGTCGCCAGTCCATCGCAGGGCGGACATACAGACATATACGTTCACAAATGGGGCAATTTAGTGACTCCAGTTGGCCTGACTGCATGTCTTTGGACTGTGGGAGGAAACTGGAGCACACAGAGAAAACCCACACAGACACAGGGGGAACTCCACACAGAAAGAACCCTGGTCGCCCAGCTGGGGAATCAAACCCAGGCCCTTCTTGCTGTGAGGCAATACATATGAACAGGTACACAAAATTGCATATAGTGGTTAAGATTGTAACCACTTCTATAAAATTTTAATACATTTAAATTCATTTTAATCAAGCTTTGTGCATCATTTTAAACTTAGACTTCAGATTTTGTTGTTTTCTCTACGTCATGGAAAACTTAGACAGTAAATTTAGATGTCAATTGTCTACACACACATGAAAGATAAAATACATTATATTGCAGTTCTAACACGTAAATCATCTCTGCTGAAGCGTTAAAATATTTTTTTGCTAATAAAAAGCATAATAACAATTAATATAAAGCATTGTCGCGATAATGACATCTTGTGTTGGTAAAGACACAATGTTAATGGTAAATGTTAATGATGTAAACTTAACAGTAGGCTACTGTAGAGAACAGTAAGAGACAAAAAACAGAAGGTGTTACAAAGATGGTGGAGCTATTGCAGTAAACACTGGGTCGAACTGATATTAATGTTTAAAAAATATTACAGCCTAAAGTTGATGTGGCATGAACGTTAATACTAATACACAAACACAAACCCATAACACTGACAGCACCTCACCACAACATTACAAGTCCAACTAGTTCTCATTTCAGCCTGAGGAGTAAGCTCACTGCACCTTTTATATAATAAACATGACAGATGAAAAGATACCTTGTTCGTTCTGCATCTTGAGTCTCCTAGTGTGAGTGATGAGCACATGTGCACTATGTGCTCACCTGCTAACTTATGTTTCCTTAAAAACTAGATTTGTGTGGCTTTGAAGAAACTTTTAAGGACTCAGAAGTGTGGGACAGGCGCATTTAGAGAAAAAATCATATAAATGATGAGTAATGAAAAAAGACTTTTAATATGGTGTAAATAAATATTTCTAGGAAACAATTTCATTTGAAATAATGTCATATCGTTATTTAATTAGCTCTTTATGAGTCTCAATATTGAGATCACAGTTGTGGGACATGCACAAAAGTGGCATTTAGACACACAAAATGCTTCATAAATTTTATTAAATAAATTTTTTTGTAATTGTTTTTATGTCTAGATGAGTAATAACACTGTGTATATATTTATCAAGCATCATAAGACAAACAACCATCGACTCCAATTTCCTTAAAGTGGTGGTGATAGAAACCAACCAACCAACCAATTAACCAACCAATCAATAAATACAAAGTTTTGTTTGTGTACTGTTTCTTTTTCTTACAGCACCATGCATGTCTTTTTCAGATGTTTTGGGCAGAAGCTTTATCAACTTAAAACAATGTCTCAGACTTTTCTTTGTGAGGGAGCTTTTAGAGGCCTTAAACACTTCAGCTTTCTGGTTCCTATCACCACCACAGTGGACAGTTCTGAGGTTTACATGTTTTTGTAGATCTGAGCATTTCAAACAGCTACAAACAGCAACATTGTTATAATGTTCATTTAATACATTTACTTTTTTTAAAATACATCTAAATTCATTTTAATCAAGCATTCTCATAAATACTCATTTAAAAAATTTTAAAATAGAGGATTTTGTGTTTTTTTCTACACCATGGAAAATTTAGACAGTACCTTTAGATGTCAGATGTCTACACACACTTAAAAGATAAAATACATTAGACTGCAGTTCAAAAAAGTCAGACAGCCAAAACATGTTTGTTGTCTAAAGTTTGCTTCTTTCATTTGATACTGCTAGTAAGCTATGAGGCTAATGTGGCTAATAAGAAGCAGAAGTCTGTCATAAAATTTCTGCTATACAGGCTTGTACCATCAGTGTAAACTTACATGAGCCAATTTCACCACAAAAAACACCAAACATGTCTTGGCTGATGTTGACATGTTGATTAAGGGGGAACATAATGTAAATTTATCAGTGAACTATTCCTTCCTGATTGTGAGCTGCTGTTCTTCTCTGGTGACTAAAGGAGCCTAAATCTACTCTCAAAAGTCTTGATATCTTAATGAAATACTGACTCAGGGAGAAGTAAAAAGCAACTTGCAAAAACATTTTGATCAGGTGACATGAAAAGTGCCCTACAGACCTGCGGAACCTGTTCATTCATACAGGAACTTGTTAGGTGCTGTTCTTCTCTCTTTTTTAGGGATCCCTTTGATCTACAATAAACTGTTAAAGTTCAAAGGTGAAAGGTATGAGCAACAGCCAAACAGTTCAGGTGCTGTCAACAACACAGCATGAAATCAAACCAAAAAAAGGAAGTGGGAGTTAAATGTGGAACTGAGTAAAATGTAGATTAGTTCCTTCACAAATATACATGTGTATCATGGCTGTCAAAGGAAAAACAAGCATCTCCAAAACGGCAGGTTTACAATAGAGGGCAAAAACATGTATGTTAATGTAAAGAGATTTTATTTGAAGCAGTTTTGTAGCATTTCTATCAGTCAAGTCATCATGGAATCTTACACAATGTAAAGAACAGCAGCTGAGCTCAAAGCTGAACATGCAGAAACCTAAACATGGCAAAAATTGGAGACAATTGTTTGTTGTTTAAAAGTATTATGGTTTTAAAATGCTCAGGAAATGTACAAATCTACTAAAATGATGCTTAACTACCAACGAACCAACTCTGTAGCTACAGTACTCTGCAAAAAAAAGTGCACATGAGAAATCTAGATTTAAAAGCTATTTTTGTAAATAAGTGTTTATTTGCTCAGGAAAATTACAATAAATACACGCAATATTAATAGAAATACAGAATGTGGTGCTTTTATGTATGGTATTGGTTTGGCCAAACAAATCTTTATTATGTTAAAAAGCCCATATTCTACATATTTCTGGTATTTTAATTTTTTCCCTGGGGTCCCCTTAGAACGTTTGTATGGTTTATGTGACAAAAACAGTCAGAATTAATTGTTACATGATCATTTTCCAGCCTCTCGTTTTCCCTTTGCTTTTAAGGCTGATATATGCAAATGCACTGTGTTCCGACTGGCAGCCCTGATAGTTCTGTGCATCATTCAATTAGAACTACTGTAGGCCAAATATGCAGATATATGTGTTCATTTTTCATGACACCACAAAGACCACAAATGCAAAACAGGCTGTTTTTGAAGCGTAGTTTCCATATGTGGACAGTATGGACTGTGGAGTGAATGATGTTGACATTGTTTACATACAACATCAGACTCCTATAACAGAAAAGCAGAGGGAGTTTGTTTTTTTTACACTGATTTTATTTAATAAAAGCACGCTGTTAATGAAATTGAACAAATCTGGGTGAAGCTGGGAGCACTGAGGAGAAATCTTACTGTATTTATGCTTATTTGCATTTATTATAATGCCATACGGTCCTTTTACAAGCAAAAACACATTTTTGCCAAGATAAATGGTTTTAAATAATGTGTTTAGGGGTCTAAGACTTTTGCACAGCATTGTATATAAATCAGATACACACACACACCACTTTTTGGTCAGCTTACTCTGTTTTCTGGGCTTTCACAATCGACAAGCCCACAGCTATTAACATGAAACCAAACCAGTGGTCTTCAAACCATCTCACAAGATCAACTACTTTTTTTGAAAATGAAAAATTTGTGTTGCTTTTGTACTGTATTTATGTTTATTTGCATGTATTTTAATGCCATATGTTGATTTCCCAAGCAAAAACACACTTTTTGCCAAGATAAATGGTTTTAATAATGTGCTTAGGGGTCTAAGACGTTTGCACAGTGTTGTACATAAATCAGCTACACACACACACACACCACTTTTTGGTCAGCTTATTCCGTTTTCTGGGCTTTCACAATCGACAAGCCCACAGCTATTCACATAAACACATTGCTAAATAAATGACTGGCTTCAGCTTTGGCTCACGATGATCCAAAAACACAGCTGGACAATGCAGGTTATATTTGTATCCACAGATGCAGAACTTTTAAAAAAGAAAATACATAAAAATCCTTTCTTGTGCATAAGTATAGGCCTTCCCATTGTGACCTTTGACACTAATTCCGTGCTTTGCTGTCCCTTCATGTGTTGCCAAGGCTCCACCTTGACTGTGTTGTGGTCATAAAACTCTTTTATGTGCGTTTAAATGTAACAGTGGGCAAATCGGCTGAGAAGGTCATTGCACTATTGAAATGTGACATGACTGGCCCACCCACAGATCAGATGTTAAACTGTGAGTTCTTTCCCCTCCACTCCAGACTCCCACTCCTATCCAGGAGGAGAGTGGTTTTTCCCTCATTGTGCGGTGTTATGGAGATGGATAGTAACTTGTTCCATTTTACTACCATTTATTTACTCAGTTCCACGATGTGGTCTGAAACAGCGTCATGCTCTGTGGAGAGCAAGAATCAGTGCAGCCATGGCTGATGGGCATTGCGGATATTAAATCAGGGGTAGGCAGTTCCATCCCGGCCACAGCACTGCAGGTAGGGCTGCCAAGGAATTTGCCGGAGCCTCCCGAAATGAGAAATATTCAGCCCTTGAGATTTTTCGTATTTAATTTTTTTTAAACCTCACTGTTCTGTGATATACACTGATCAGCATAACATTATGACCACCTCCTTGTTTCTATGTAAACACAATCTACACTCACTGTCCATTTTATCAGCTCCACTTACTATATAGGTGCACTTTGTAGTTCTACAATTACAGACTGTAGTCCATCTGTTTCTCTGCATACTTTGTTAGCCCCCTTTTACCCTGTTCTTCAGTGGTCAGGACCCCCATGGACCCTCACAGAGCAGGTACTATTTGGGTGGTGGATCATTCTCAGCACTGCAGTAACACTGATGTGGTGGTGGTGTGTTAGTGTGTGTTGTGCTGGTATGAGTGGATCAGACACAGCAGTGCTACTGGAGTTTTTAAACACTGTGTCCACTCACTGTCCACTCTATTAGACACTCCTACCTTGTCAGCCCACCTTGTAGATGTAAAGTCAGAGACGATAGCTCATCTGCTGCTGCACAGTTTGTGTTGGTCATCCTCTAGTCCTTCTTCAGTGGTCACAGGATGCTGCCCTCAGGACGCTGTTGGCTGGATATTTTTGGTTGGTGGACTATTCTCAGTCTAGCAGTGACACTGAGGTGTTTAAAAACTCCAGCAGCACTGCTGTGTCTGATCCACTCAGACCAGCGCAACACACACTAACACATCACCACGTGCCACCACTGGACTCTGGAGTGATGAATCATGCTTTATTACCTGGCAGTCTGACAGACAAATCTGGGTTTGGCAGATGTCTGAAGAACACTACCTACTGGAATGCATAGAGCCAACAGTAAAGTTTGGTGGAGGAGGGATAATGGGCTGGGGCTGTTATTCAGTGTTTGGGCCCCTTGGTTCCAGCGAAGGGTGATGTTAATGCTACAGAATACAAAGACATTTTGGACAATCATATGCTTCCAATTTTGTGGCAGCAGTTTTAGGCCCTTTCCTGTTCTTCCATGACTGTGTCCCTGTGCACTAAGCGAGGTCCATAAAGACATGGTTTGGTAAGTTTGGTGTGGAGGAACTCCAGTGGCCTGCACCGAGCCCTGACCTCAATCCCACTAAACACCTATATAATAAATTGGAACGTCGACTGCAAGTCAGGCCTTCTCATCCAACACTAGTGTCTGACCTCAGAAATGCTCTTTTGACTGAATGGGCACAAATTCCCTCAGACACACTCTCTTCTTTAGAGCAAAATCTTTAGAGCAAAAAAAGCATTGGGGGCCAACTCCATACTAATGGCCATGGTTTTGTAATGGGATGTCCAACAAGCTTATAAAGGTGTGATGGTCAGATGTCCACATACTTTTGGCCACACAGTGTATGATTCGAAATCTAGTGATAAGTAATGTTAGCTAGCGAACAGAAAGAAAAAAAGTAAAGTAAATTTGTTGAGTTGTGTTCTAATGTGGATGGGGTCGGTTGGCACATGTCATGTATTTTATAATATATGCTACACACATTCTAAATAGCACATTAAGTAACACAACTAGAGTGCAGTATTGTACTATATCACTGTTGAAATAAAATAAAAACAAGTTATTTTAAGGTCATTTGATAATACGATCTTTTGTCTTTTCATCTCAAGATAAAAAAAAAAGTTATGTAATAAATATTTTTTTTTATTTGAAAAGACAACTTTTAATTTGTTAAATGCAACATTTAATGCACTAAAATGTTTACAATCAATTGAGGTTTTAATGTAGGCAAACAAAAGTAAAAAGAATTTAACAATAAAACAACCAAATACAAAATAAACTTATATGGCATTTTTTTTTGCAGGAAATGACATCATTACATAAAAAAATATCACTAAAAACAGTTTGATGGAAAGGAGCTGCAGGGCAGCTAAAATCACAAAAAAGAAAAAAAGCACACATTAGCTATGTTTCCATCAAATTCCTGCACAAATTTCAAGCAATAAAATGAAAATGCATAAGCAATTTTGCAGCTTTTGCTGCTCAGTGGCTTGTTTTCTTCAAACTGACTTTAAAGACTTAAAGCTCTTTTATTAATACAAGTCAGTTTGCTGGTAAGAAGCTGCTGGACAGCAAAAAATGCAAAAATAATATTTACACATTTTCATTGTATCCCTTGCAATTTGCACAGAAACTTCATGATAATGTAGCTGTTGAGTGTAAAATCACATGGAAATATGGGCTCAGAACTGTTAAATAATGGTGTGTTACAGTGTTGACATTAAACTGTGCAGGGCCGTAACGCTCTGTGAGTGGTGTCGCCCTTCCTGACCTTAAACCACAGACACAAATGAAGACACATTCTGAGACACAAATAGAGACCGCCCCCGCATCCCAAACGAAAAAACAAAACAATGTTACTTAAAAAAGCAGGAGTGTTTCATTCAGCCACCAAAGAACATAACACACCTCAGCAAAGTCATCATTTGGTGTGGCAGGACTTGATTTGAAAATGCTTAACTTGTCTCATCTAAATGTATATGCTATTTACATGCTACATAAGGCTGGACTGAGACTTGGATTAAAATGGCATCACTATTTCAAAACAAGGGAGCACCTACACAACACCCAACTACAATTTACACAACTCAAAAAAACAGGTCAGCCTGAATTAGCAGTTTCCTATCACAGTAAATATGCAAAGGTCATCCTACATTTGTCTTCCTTCGGGTCCACTTTTTGTGCTTTTATGTACCAAAAAAGGTCATAACTCATCTTAACATGACCATTTTCCAACCTCTCTTTATCCTTTATAATTAAACATGCTGGTTTTGTTACTGTGCCTTTAGGACTGATATATGTAATGATCTGTATTTAATCTGTATCTAAATATGTAATGAAAAGATTCCATTATCTGGTTTTAATACCAGTTAAAACATGCCTTCATTCACTTGGCCTTCCCCTTGGGGAGATCCCTGGCATTATCTTTAATCTCTGACATCATCTTCCATCTACCTTTATTGACTAAGCGAAGTTTGTTAGATGAGCCCCCCAGAAGGATGAGGGACCAAGTGAACACAAGTGTTGACTTCAGCAGCAGAAGCTGCCCAGGAATCATTGTGAGGTGATGCATTTCTCTTTTCATACACCCAAAAAATGGCTGACAAAGCTGTTTATAAGCCAGAGAAATAAAATACAACTTCTTTTCCAAAAATGTTGGGATGTAAATTTAAAAAACAACAATATGATGTGCAAATCATTTAAACCCTTAAACCCCTGACGCCAGCAACACGGCTAAAAAAAAGTTGGGACGGGGCAGCAAAAGACTGGTAAACCTGTGTAATGCTAATAAACACCTGGTGGAACATCTAACAACTAATTAGTTTAACTGGCAACAGGTCAATAACATGATTGGATATAAAAAGAACATCTCAGAGAGGCTGAGTCTTTCAGAAGTATAGATGAGGAGGGGTTCACCACTCTGTGAAAGAAATAAATAGTGCAAAAATTCAAGAATAATATTTCTCAACGTAAAAAAGAGAAAAGAACTTGGGGATTTAATGATCTACAGTACATAATATCATTAAAAGATTCAGAGAATCTGGAGAAATCTCTGTATGAAAGGGACAAGGCCAAAAACCAATACTGCCTGGCCGTGATCTTCGGGCCCTCAGGGAGCACTGCATTGAAAACAGACATGATTTTTATAGTGGAAATCACTGCATGGGCTCAGAAACACTTCTGAAAACTTCTGTCTTTGAACACAGCTCCTCACTGCATCCACAAATGCATGTTTAGACTCTACCATGCAGAGAAGAAACCACATATCAATAGGATCCAGAAACACTGCTGCCTTCTCTGGGCCCGAACTCAAGATGGACTGGAAAAGTGCCCTGTGGTCTGACGAATTAAATTTTGAAATTCTTTTTGGAAATCATGGTTACTGCATCCTCTTTGCTAAAGAGGAAAGTGACCACCCTGCTTCTTATCAGTGCACAATTCAAAACATATCTCCTCAGAGTGTTGCTTAGAGAGTGCTGTGAAAAGAAGAGGTGACGAAACAGTGGTAAACATGCCCCTGTCCCAACTTTTTTGAAATGTGCTGCTGCCGTCAAATTCAAACTGGGCATATATTTTTCAAAAAACAATCAAATTTCTCAGTTTCAACATTTGATACACTGTCATTGTACTTTTTTCAATTAAATAAAGGGTTTAAATCACATGCACATCACTGCATTCTATTTTATTTACATTTATACAGTGTCCCAGCTTTTTGGAAAGAGAGTAGTATTTCAAAACCATAACATTTAATTTGCTGGGCATTAGATTGCAAACTACTCTGTGTGTTATACACAACTGCTGATAAAACTTTAGCATACTAAAGGTTACATGGCTAACAACAACAAAAAGATGTATTACACCAAATTTCATGACCAAATTAAGCAAGTATTCACAAATTTTCTGTACATTATGTGCAAACTTCTCAAAAATACTATTTGCATTGCATGGCTAACCGATTAGCTCACTGAGGCTAAACCCACTGTTCTGTTAATAATGTGCTCCTCACTGCCCCCACCCTCTTCTTGTACTGTGAGTGACCACTTCCTGTACTTGGCACATTTCCAAGGGGTGAGTTGAGATGGGCAAAGACATGTTTGAAAAATGTATTGACATAGGATTCAAGGTGGAACACTCCTTATAACTTCAGTGTCAGTGGGCGGGGCTAAACTGCTGTAGCCCTAATGGGTCAGTATTTGCAGCTTAGTTTCCATATATGACTATATGATCTGAGGAGTGAATAGTATGTTTTGAAGTTTTTTACAAAGTTGTGAAGGTATTTTTTTTTCATTATAAGGGCCCTTTGAAGGACAACTGCACCTCAAAAAAAGTACATGTTTCTTTTTATATTACGTGGATTACTGATTAAAGTCTTTATATTTCTATTAACTCTAGAATGTAGCACAAAAAAAAAAAAATCAGGAATTTGACATTCATTTTCTAAAGTTCCTTAAATACTGCAAAAATATACTTTTGTGAGGAGAAATGCTATAATATGTCTATAAGAATCTCTTTATGAACATAATACACATTGTTATTTACATTCACTGTGACTTTCCTTTAGTCATCTGCCCCCTGGTGGATGGTTACAGCCCCTGCAATTCCCAGCAGAAAGTAAAGGCAGGAACAGTGTAGCTGTTGTTAAAGCCAGTCAGAAAGGCTGCTGAGAGCTGGGCTAGGGACCTTGGGCCAGATATTCTGCTTTATCCTACAGAAGGCACAAACACATCAACATATCCACAACAGTGACTTATGAAATTATGAGTTATGAACTGATTCAGTTATTTTCAGTGAATTTCGGAGCTCTTGTGGTGTGGATGGCTCTTACCTCCATCTCATTCTCCAGCACATACAGAGCAGTATGCAGAATCCAGCTATGAACACACAGCCGCTCAACAGCGCAGTCTGCATGGAAGTACACGACGCTGTCAATCAAAAAGATTCAATCAGGAATGAACAGGATGAAAGGGAGAAAGCAGGGAAAAAAAACAAACAACACACTTAAAAAAGATGGTTCTTTAAGGGTTCTTCAGTAAAGAGTTCTATATAGAACCACTGCATGCTTAAATGGTTCTTTGCACAGTGAGTTGGTTCTTCAGATTGATGGAGAATGTGGTGTATATGGTTTTATATAGAACCTTTGTAAAAATGTGTTGTACATGGTACATTCTGCAGAACCCTTTTTGGTGCTAAATAGAACCATATACAACAGATTTTCCATCAATATGAAAAATGATTTCACCATGAAAAGAACAATTTAAGCATTTTAAAATGGTTTTATATAGAAGTCATGGTTCTAAACAGTACCATTGCCTTTATTGAGGATAGCATAAAATATTTCAACATAGCTGTTATCTTTTTAAAGGCTTTTAAAACTCCAGTTATAGGACTTTCTAGCAGTGCCTCATGTACATTTGTGACATCAGTGAGTGTGAATATTGTGGATATTGTCAGTATTAAGGCCTGCTGTTTGTACAGTGCTAATTGGTGGTGTGTAGGCCACCATTACGTACTGACAGTATCCCTGTAGCTCCAGAGCAAAACTAAAGAGGCAAACTTCAGACACCAAGCATGTCTTGACTGATCAGCTAGGTTTATGGTAAGAGGACAATTGTGTAAATCTGATTTTTCACTAAGTTATCGCTTTAGTATTTCACTGCTTTGACTCATGAAGAATGATGTCTATAAAGTTTTACTGTTCTGCTGTGAGTCACCTATGAACACACTGAGAACAGGTCCAGCTGGTCCCTTCCCTGCTTTAGTGTGGGCCTTCATATAGAACCTGTACTGTCCAGATACACCATGGAAAGTGTACTGCTGCCAGTCCACAGGCACGGCAAGCTCTCCTGAAACACATAATCCACAGTCCACACACACGGTGTGTGTCAGCATACACTGCCGTTTAAAGGACTGGAATATCTTATAATCGATTATACACTATGTATTTTATTCAATAATAATACAGTACAGACTGAAATATTATAGATACGAAAAGGTATTTTAGATTTTTTTTATTGTACTTTATTTTATAAAAAGTCTCCTGGGAACAACCTGAAATAATTAAAGGACAAATAATATAATACAAAAATGTAAAGAATTCAAAAGAGGTTTTTGGGAACAACAAGTAATTATTAAAAGGTAAACAATATAGACATAATAATAAAAAAATAAGTAAATAAAAGTTTTTGGGCAATAGCAAAAATTGTAAAGGATAAATAACAGATATAATAATATAAAGGAAAAATACATTATTTTATTTTGTTTTGTTTTTATAATGTTTTTGGGAATTAAAAAATGAATGATGGAAGGATAATTAATATAGGCTATAATTATCTGTTCACAGCAATTTCATGTCAAGTTGCCTCAAGATTTCTTCAACACTGTTTACTGTGGTGAAGTTATAGAGAACTAGCATCATAATAGAATCATTTTATACATGTATCTACAACAAAATTGAAAACAGTGATTCCAGGCTTTTGAACAATATTATATATGTAAATGAACACGCAAACACTCACATGCTTTTTACTCTAAACCAAGCCGAATCTAACTGGACTGAACTAAACCGGACTGAACCCAACCAGGCTGAACTGAATCAAATTGAACTAAATCAAATGGACTTTAGTCATTCCTGAAGTGGACATATAAATATCAACAAATGACATCACCATAGATAAAGAGTAAACGACCCAATACATATGTATAAAGTCCCCATAGCTCAAAGGGAAGAGCCTCACGCATCCTATGAAGTCATCCTATGTTGGACAGACAGATATCTGGTGCAGCGATAACAGTGACCCAGGGTCAATAACCCTAAGGCACAATTAATTTACAGATCATGTTATTATAAATCGTGTTAAAGGTCATGATTTACACAGCCACTATCTTGTTTTATACTCACGTGTAACATTGTCCTCATTCTGATAATGCAGGGTGTATCTGGTAATAAAACCATTGCGAAGTGCCAAAGGTACTGGACTCCAACGGAGCACCAAGTTTAAGCAGCCATACGCTGCAACGTGCAGCTTTGGACCAGCAGAGGGCGCTGAAAATTAGAAGTGGAAATGAGGGCTACAGGATGCCACATCAGGCCTCATCCAAGAGACAAGGTGATAATCAACTGCAGTGAACTGAACAGAGGTGTATATTTGTTTTAGAAAAGATGTGATATAATGTAGCTGAAGAAGAAGAAAGATAATGAATATGTCTTTGGTGCTTGGGCCCCTACATTCATAACATTTTGGCATCTTTTTTGGTGTTTTTTGTATTAAATACATGTTTTTCTTTATTAAGTAACATTGCTGAGACATTAATTCAGAAATTGAAGGGAGGTCCTTAAAGCTGATAAAGGCAAAGTGAGCAGACCTCACTTGTCTTTGTATGCGTGTACCTGCTTGGCGGATATAGGCCAGCACTGTTAAGCCAGGGTCAGACAACGCTCCATACACCACTCTCACACTTATAGAGTAGGGTGTGTTCGGCTCCACTCCCTCTTAATACACACAAACGACACAAAATTATTATTAATTCGACAGTGAACCATTACAAATATTAAAGGGCCCACAGCCACATTTTTCTTATCTTTATTTTTTCCTCTGAGGTCCACTTATAAAGTTTGTGTGGTTTTATGTACCAAAACCACTCATAATTCAATTTTATATGACCATTTTCCCACCTCTGTTCACCCCTTACATTTAAACAGTCTGTTTTTTACAGGGCCTTTATATGTGTGCCTTTATTGTGCGTAGTATATGTAAGTGACCTGTGTTCTGATTGGCTTTCATATTTCATAAGCTACATTCAAAAGGTGGGTGTCGTATGAGAGCTGTAACTGTCTTCTTTCCAGTCAAATAGATGGGTAATGTAATTTCAAACCCTTATAATAAAAGAAGCTGAACTCACAATTTTTTTTGTTTACTGAAAGTCGACCCATTTTTCCACAAATCTGGGCTATAAACTATAAACAGATTCTCTTCAGTGATCTGCTCTGTAAAAATTATTTTTATAAAATAATACAAAGAGCATCTAAGATTTTTGGCATTCAGCAGTAAATTGTAAGCATATAGCAATATGTGTATGATCATAAAACATGTTCTGTTAATTTGAGGGGAGCTTTTACAAAGAAAAAAATAAATGAATAAAATAAAAATTTACAGTTATTTCATGCAGTTACTGAATAATTTGCCTTATGATTTGGTCATGTAAATTCAGATGGACAAACCAAAATATACCCTGGTCAATAAGAGGTTAACGGTGATTACATATTATATCAAACTCTAAAAATATAATAAACTATATACAAAAATATATTTTTTTATTTTTTATTCCATTCAAGTACTTTGCAAACAACAATATGTTATTAAATGCAGTTTTCTGCCTCAAGATTTGCTCACCACATTTGAAATACAAGCCATTTTGGATGTTTTATCATATATTTATTTTTTATTATAACATCATTCTCAATGCAGTTCAGCTTTCTCGGTCAGCTCTATTCATTCTGGACATATCTAAAAATTCCCACTTTTTTGTAGCATTGTACTTATTATTTAAACCATGTGAAATTGCAGAGGCCTCTTGTATCAGAATCATTTTACACATTTGCAGCCATTTTATGGATATAAATCTGCAGTCAAATTGTTTTTAAATGACTGAAAACACCGACTGAGTGTAAAAATTAATGAGCTGATATCCATACCTGTAATAATGGTTTTGAAAGTGTTGTGGTCCACTCTGTGCCAGTGAGGGTCACTTTGACATTGAGTGCTCTCTGTAATACACCACTCTACTACAAAGCCAGTGATGGTGGGAGACTCCACGGCTGCCCACTGAACTTCCAGACTGGAATCATCCAGTGAGGTCACTCGGAGCGATATCAGTGATTTCTGATCTGTAATATTCAGTACATCGCAGCATGTAGATCATAGCGACACATGGGACTATATTACCTACTTTGAAAGCTAAAGTTAAAAGGAAAATAGGAAAGAAAAATTTTGCAGCTGGAAAAAAATGGAATGAGCAGATGGTGGAAAAGTGTTCTATTCATGCTGCTACAATTTTATGCAAAATTAGTTGATTTTCTAGGTGAAAATGAATAATAACACATCCTCTACAGAGAACACACTACTGCACATTTTGGTGCACAATTACTTTTACTTGCTGTTTTTAACACATTGGAAAAAAATAAAACATCCAATATGTTGACTGTATGAAAAAGTTGGTTGGCCCTGGTTGGCACGGCGGGAAACACATTGGTTTATTTTTATTTATAAAACACTCACTGGCCATATTCCAGAATATATTACTTCAATGATGTCTGTTAATAATGGTATTTGTCAGCTCAAGTGGCTGGATCACATGCCAGGTACCAAGGGTTTTTACTGAACTGGGAAAATCTGCTTTTAGTTACAGAGAACTAGTGAACTGGACCATCACTACAGGAAACACTAAAGCTCAGCTCACTGGCGTCACTGAGTCACTTTAAACTTTTACTCTCTAACCACCTCCACTCCGCCTGCACCTGTTTTATATGATTTTTCACTATTATTGTCTTATTTTCATTGTTTTATTATTCATTTGTTTGTTTATTTATTTATTTATACTTATTCTTATTTTAATTATCATTATTTTATTATTATTTTAGTCATTTTAATTAATTTTTAGTTTACTTTTTGATCTTTTTCTCCTTTTATTTTATTTTGATTAGATTTTATTAACTTTTACATTTTAGCTACGTTTTAATTATTGTTTTATATTTTTTTATTGTATTTTTATGTATTTTCATTATTAATATTTCAATTTTTTTTACACTTACCTGATTTGAGTTTTTTTTTTTATTTATGAAATTTACTTTTATTATTTGATATGTTCTTACGCATTATCAATTGCTTGTCCTGTATCCTGTATCTGTAACTCGGCAACATTGTAAATGAGGGTTGATTTATGGCACATTTTCTATTTAATGTTTTACAGAAAAGTGTTTTTAAGTGTGTTCTCTGTAGAGGATGTGTTCACATATTTTCACTTAGAAAATCAACAAAAAATGTCATGGGCTCATTCAGAACTTTGTATACGACTGTATTTTATATATATAGACCATTCTACCAAATTGGTTCCAACTACAGTCCCAATGAAGGATTATGTTATGATCAATTTAAACTCAAGGCATTAATTGAGTTATAAGCCAAATATATACAAAATCATATATATATATATATAGATGGATAGATAGATAGATAGATAGATAGATAGATAGATAGATACACACACACACACACACACACACACACACACAGATATATACATATATATATATTTTTTTTTTCCATCATGGCCACATGGTGAGCAGTTACATCACATTGTTTTGAAGTGTGTCCCAAAGTCTGGAAATCAGTGTCTAACATTGAAAATTTTCACTACCAAAACACATATTTTCTGCTTTTAAGGAATTTTTTATTTTAATGAAAAATATTTTGATTTTATGTGTGAACAGCTGTTCAAAGCTGTGTTTGCTAGTCATGCACTGCCTAGCATTTTTGAGTTATGCTCAAAATTAGATGAAATTGTCACTACAGAAACATTTGGTAAAGTTTCGGTAGTGTTATAATTGTTTTGGAAGTGACAAAATGGAATGTCCAATCATTTGTTTTAATAAAAAAATAGTGAATATAAGGCTTCATAAGGTATAGTGTCACTCAAAGCACCAACCAATTTGAACCAATTTGGTAGAATGATTCATATAAACTTTTACTCATAATTAAGAGCAAAATTGAAAGCTAATTCATCATTAATTCCTATAGTATTAAAGTTACCTCTGTTTGTCAGAGTCTTCAGCACTGAAGAAGTTACTCAGTGAACACACGACTTGCACATACATACCAGTCCGCCATTGGCTGGGTATGGTGATGGAGGCTGGAGGGGCGGAGCCTGCAGAGTTGAACATGCTGAACGTGCAGATATAGGTGTGTTGAGGGACAGTCAAGTGGCAGGACCTGTTGGCCAAGCTGATGTTAGTACAGTCCCTCAAATTCACAGCTGCTGGACACTGCACATTGAACCATGCTGTGCACGCTGATTCCAGTGCCGCCTGGGAAACAAAAGTTCAGGAGTTTTAATTTAAATTCTTAAAAATCTTTTAAAAAGATGGTAGCAAGCGATATCTGTACTTTTAATTTACATTTTAGTGAATCTCTTGCATGAAGTCAGAAAATGGAACTCCATATGCTTTGTTTGCTCAGTGTGACTATTGCAGGCTTTGCAGGTGCTAAGCTGACTGGCACATTAGACTTTGAGCAGTGCCCATTTCAGCTGACATGTTCCAGTAAAACATACACTCACCAACCACTTTATTAAGAACAACTCTACATCGACTCATTCATGCAACTATCTAATCAGCCAATCGCATTGCAGCAGTGCATACAATCATGCAGATATAAGCCAGCAGCTTCAGGTATTGTTTACATCAACCATTACAATGGGGAAAAAATATGATCTCAGTGATTTTTACCATGGCATGAATGGTGATGCCAGATGGGTTGGTTATTTCTGCTGATCTATATATATATAACTGCTGATCTCCTGGGATTTTCACGCATAACATTTTCTAGAGTTACTCAGAATGCTGCGATAAAGAAAAAAACATTCAATGAGTGATAGTTGTGTGGATGGAAATGCCTTGCAGATGGGAGAGGTCAGCGGAGAATGGCCAGACTGGTTTGGTCGGACATAAAGCCTCTGTATAATTGTGATGAGCAGAAAAGGATCTCAGAATGCACAACACGTCAAATCTTGAGGTGGATGGGATACAACAGCAGAAGACCATGTTGGGTTCCACCTCAGTCAGCTAAGAACAGAAAGCTGAGGCTGTAGTGGGGACAGGCTCACCAAAACTGGACAGTTGAAAGCTGGAAAAAAGGAGCCTGGTCTGAAGAATCTTAATTTCTGCTGAGGCACATAGATGGTAGAGTCAGACTTTGACAGCAACAGCACAAATCCATGGACCCAACGTGCCTTGTATCAACAGTCCAGGCTGGTGGAGGTGGTGTAATGGTGTGGGGAATGTTTTATTGGCAAACTTTGGGCTTGTTAATACCAATCAATCATTGCTTGAAAGCCACAGGGGTATTGTTGTTAACCTTGTGCATCCCTTGATGGCCACAATTTACCATCTTCTAATGACTCAATCTAGAATAAATTCTAAACCTTTAGAATAAACTTTAAACCTTTCTTTAGTTTTCTTGGGTATGAGCCAATCATGTATGACAAACAGCTGACCAAGACGCAACTAAGTAGCCAACCGTCCACCTATTTTTTGTCTCCTGAAATGGACTATGTATAAAAGTAATTGGAAATTTTATGTACTAACTTTAAAAAAGAGGCTCTTTAAGGACTCTTTTTGCTAAGAGTTTGCATCCAGTAGTAATGAATACTTCAAAACAAAAGCTGACATTCTTTGCTTTAACCTCACACTCACTGCCTCATTTCAGTTCCACTGTCCTGGGTACAGAGCCAAAGCAATAGGAATTTGTAACAGCCTTACTTTCCTTGCCCTTGTCTTTTTTCCCCCTACTTGTTTATGTTCCCTCTCTGGCCTTGTGCTTTGGTTTGTTTTGAATTTTCCTGCTCCACCCTTGTATCATCCCCTATACCTGTGTATTGTCTGTAGCCCACTCTGTTCCCAGGTGTTCCTTGATTACCTTAGCTAATATACAGAGCTTATGTTTTTGTCCTACTCCTTGCTTGGCAATGTATCAAATAGTGTAGTGTAGTGTAGTGTAGTGTAGTGTAGTGGTTACTTTGCTCCTTTTATGTACCCTTGGATATTTAGTATTAGCCTTGCCAGATTTGGACAGCCTCTTAAGTTTCAGCTTCACAAAGCATAAAAAGTGGAAATGCAGCATTAATGCATAAGAAATGGAAAAGCAGCACCATGTAATATTTTTGTTTAAACTGAAAGAAGTAGCATTACTGAATGTGAAAAAAAGGAACACACTAAAATATGGTGTGCGTGTGCTGCTGTGAGTCACCCCGTAAAGCCTGAAATCAGGATTTAAAAGTCAGAGGTACGATTTTTTGTACCCCGCCATACATCTTTACGTCTTTGGGTCATTCTACAGAAACGTCTATTTTTGTGTCCCTAGCGTTTACAGATATATCACTGGTGTGACCGCATAACAAAAAATCTCGTTTTGAAATAAAAATCACACTGATGACATCACTTGACCTCCTTTTACATATTTTCTGAGGATCTATGCAGAAAAGCACATGTCCACTGTGTCTTCTCAGTTATCAGAAATCTCATTTAGCTCATGATTTCATATGAAGCTTTTAGTTGAAGTCACTGGTGTGACCTACTTTATTCTTAGGTAACTGTGAAAAAATAGAACACAAATGGATTAAATTACATCATTTAATGGATATTCCATGATTGACAACATGTGGTTTGATGCTCTGTAGCAGCCATTTTTAAAAATGTCTCTGGTGTTACCTTTCTTATGTGTAACACCAATGAGGATAGATAACACCACCTATAGTGACACCTATGGATAGGCAGAAAAGTGGACGCTCCTGTAGAATGACCCATTAACATCACACACACAGGCTCAAAAAGAGGGTCTGACTCGATGTTTAGGTCTCAAATGCAAAATCAACATTATACTGATAAAGATATGATGACAATCATGCATCATTTACTCACATCCTGCGAAGGAACATGCTTCAGCAAGTTTGGACCAAGTTGTCTTTGAATACTCTTTCAACCCCCTGCAAAAGTCGGATTCATCTGCTTGTGGGGGTCCGACGTGCAACAGATGTCACAAAATGTTTTTCTGCATGTGGCATGCAATTAAATATTTCCACCAGAGAGGAATTTTTAAATCCCCACATCCGTCAGTGTTGCTTAACTCGTTTTACAAAAGCAGTTAACAACGTTCTCTATCAACCCAGCACACTCAAGCTGTGATTAATCCTCGTGCACAAGCACATGAAAGCATGTTTATGACAAACAGCTAATTGTGTATAACATGAGGAGGAGTCCAGTGGCTTATTTCTCAAAGAAGAAAGAAGAAATCTGTATGAACATTTGGACAGTAAAGCATGGATAATGGTAAAATACAACAACACTGTCTTGACTGCCACCATGTTAGCATTTACTGGAGTAATAAATGCTTTTCTTCCTTAATATTTCTATAGTATGATTTGCTTTCTCTGCTAAAAAGCAATGTTCGTCACATGATTGACACCACAAATGTCAGGAAGAAACAAAAGTGACCGAAGGGGTCCACTTCTGTCAGTCCCTGATTGGTTAGAAGCTCACTCTGATTGGCCCAAGAGCTGTTTATGATCAGAAATCCAGAATTTAACCTGTGCAGTATAAGTTGTCTTGGTAAAAAGTGATTCAATTAAAAAAATACAGGTTTAGATCAAAGTAACCTTAAAGTTAGCTGGCTTAGTGAGAAATCCTGCTTTGTGAGAGGCCCCTGGTCTTGTTTTCTTCTGTTATTAGTTTAGTTTCTGGCCTAGTTTCTTTGTTCCACGTCACGATTATCTTTCTTACCGTTTCAGTGGTTTCAACAAACAAACCACTTGCACTCCTATCCTGCGTCTACTCCTCCTTGTTTACAGAACTGCTTTACTGTCCAATTACTTACAGAATGCAAGGCATAAACAAACAAACATAAATCTGCAAGTCAGACTAAACTACACAGCCCATTTGTTCTTGGTGCCAGCCTCAGGGAACTGTTCAGTAATGCTACTGCATAAGCACACAGACACATGGCATTAAGCTGGTCTGCAGCTTTAGCTGTATTTTAATCAGTGCAGTCTGTACACAATGGCAGAGTAAGGTCACGTAGATCACCTTCCATAGTAACGTCACATGCCTAAATCCTGTAGCATCTGCTGGCTGAAATGTCTGCCACAGCTGTGGGACTGAAGATGGTGCTGTAGGAAACACACACACACAAAAGCTGATCAAAATCACTGACACTAATTTCTTATATCTGCTGACTTCAGAATGAGCACAGAATCTAGATAGCAGAATACTATTATATTATTTCCAGGCAAAGCAGCTGTTAAGTACAAGTTATTAATTTTTCAAGAGATTTTTCTGAGGAGATTAGATATGTTATTCTACTTGTACAGAAAGGGGAACATCAAAGGAAAATAAGTGAAAAAAACAAACAACAAAAAAAACAGTTTCCAAAACTGGAGTTCAAAAAAGTGACAAAGTTATAGAGAAGCTCTGACTCATAACAACCATGCAAGATATGGTAGACACCAAAACTGTCACATGTAAACAGTATGTACAGCTTTCATCAAGCTGCTTCAGATCTGAAAACATCCACAGATGTTTCTGTCCATCCTACCACTGTGAGAAGACTAATCAGCGCTATCAGTCTGAAAGGATGTGTAGGTGTTCAAGAAGCCCTTACTGAGAAAAGAAATAGACAAGAAAGTAGAACATTTGCAAATAAAACAAAGATTGCTGGTGTTCTCAGAACAATGGACTGACCACTCCAGAGTCCAGACCATTAAATATGTTTGGAATTTTTTGGATTGTGAGAAGCAGAAAAGGCAACCAACTTCGAAGACTGAACTTTGGAGGTGTGGAAAAACATCCAATGTCGATTTCTTTGAAAATCTGAAAAGTCTCCTGAAAGGAATGGAAGCTGTAATAAAGGCTAAGAGTGGACACACTTAACACAAAAAAAAGTTATATTTAGTTGTTGAGGCTTCTGTGTTATTTTCTGTTAAATAGTTAAATATATGTTTTTTGCTTTTTTCTTGAGTGAATATGAATAACTTGTACTTATTAGCCATTTTGACTGGAAATGGAATAAAATTACATTTTGCAGAGTACAGTAAGTCAATATAAGTCAAAACAACCAGACATTTTTCAAAGTCTTTTCTTTTGGGGCATGCATCATGAAATTCACACACAATGTAAAGGGCAACAGTCGTTTTTCTGTTTTTGACATAATTTGAAAATACCTGTTGCCCTTTACATTGCGTGTAAATTTCATGATGAATAGACCAAAGAAATGAAACAAAATTACTTGGACAAAAAGTCTGTTTACACTGACTAACATTGAAATCTGTATGAACATTTGGACAGTAAAGCATGGATAATGGTAAAATACAACAACACTGTCTTGACTGCCACCATGTTAGCATTTACTGGAGTAATAAATGCTTTTCTTCCTTAATATTTCTATAGTATGATTTGCTTTCTCTGCTAAAAAGCAATGTTCGTCACATGATCGACACCACAAATGTCAGGAGGAAACAAAAGTGACCGAAGGGGTCCACTTCTGTCAGTCCCTGATTGGTTAGAAGCTCACTCTGATTGGCCCAAGAGCTGTTTATGATCAGAAATCCAGAATTTAACCTGTGCAGTATAAGTTGTCTTGGTAAAAAGTGATTCAGTTAAAAAAAATACAGGTTTAGATCAAACTAACCTTAACGTTAGCCGGCTTAGTGAGAAATCCTGCTTTGTGAGAGGCCCCTGGTCTTGTTTTCTTCAGTTAATAGTTTAGTTTCTGGCCTAGTTTCTTTGTTCCACGTCACGATTATCTTTCTTACCGTTTCAGTGGTTTCAACAAACAAACCACTTGCACTCCTATCCTGCGTCTACTCTTCCTTGTTTACAGAACTGCTTTACTGTCCAATTACTTACAGAATGCAAGGCATAAACAAACAAACATAAATCTGCAAGTCAGACTAAACTACACAGCCCATTTGTTCTTGGTGCCAGCCTCAGGGAACTGTTCAGTAATGCTACTGCATTATATATATATATATATATATATATATATATATATATATATATATATATATATATATAGTTTATTTTTTTATTTCCTTACTATACATCCCCGAGTATCCAGACACCCAGCTTTACTTTAACTGCAATAGAATGGGATGATCTGGACCTGCTGCACAAGCCTAAGCTCATGATGTCCAATGCTAGGTGGAGTAGACGGGTATAATAATATCCTTCACCGTTGCATGAGCAGGTGTCTGCAAACTTTTCTACATGTAGTCTATATCGTAACCTCTTTTCGATATATCTTTAGACATGGTAATAGTTTTAGTGTTGTTAATTATGCTGTATTTTTAAAAAAAAACCTGTAGAAACCCCAAACGAATGACCTTCAGGTCATTACCCTCTACGTCAGTGTGGTGTGTAGCAGTGAGACTCCAGTCGCTCCAGTGGCTCAGGCTGTGTTTGTAGCGGTAACGCATCTTCACACTGTACTGAGAGCATGGCAAGAACACACACTGCAGCTTCTCTCTCAGATCCACATCCAGGATGAGTGGAACAGACTGAAAGCACCACAGAAACACACAAAACAGATCAGCTATTCAAGACAGTGGCGGGGAAGTACCATTCTGGAATGAATGTTTACAGAAATAAAACCAATTTGGTTCCAGATACATTCTATACACTAGAACTGTACAACTTTATGGATGTCATAGCTGTAAGAAAAAAAACTCTATGATGAACAGAGCTGTACATGATCCTAAAATGACCAGCAAAACTATAACATTGATAATAAAATCACTATCCAGCCTCATATTTGAAGTGGTGATCAAATCTTGAGCCAGGTAAGTTGTATATAGTCAGTACTGTGCACAAGACAGAGACCACCTTTTGTTTACGTAATTTCCAGTGAAAAAGGATGTAAAGTACAAATGATTCATTTTTCAGCATCAGGAAAGAGTAGAAAACATATATTTAATGGATAATTATCCATTAAATATATAAGTAAAGGTTTAAAACATGACATGACCAAAAAATGCAGATTCAGAAGACAAAGAAGAAGTGTAGGTCTTTCTAGGCACCGTTTAAAAGTGCTATGGGCAGAAAGACCTGATATTGCGCTGGAAGGTCAAATAAACAGGAAGATTTTGTGCGTGTGCGTTTCTGAGGTTCAGAGATTTCTGACCTGATCTGCTGTGCTGTACTGCAGTTGATACAGCAGATAGCCGCTGTTGATCTTCTGAGTGGTTAAAGGGAAGTTTTTTGGAGGAAACCAGTGCAGCCTCAGACACCGTGGACGCCCGCTCTCCGCGGTCAGCTGGAACTGTTCAGGCGGAGGCAGCTTCACTGGAGAGGTGGAGGAACCAGAGGGGGAGATAAAGAAGAGAAAACAATTACTAACTTGCTGCTGTGACTGAAAGATAAAAGTGTCAAAATCACGGCTGCATGACGCATCACACATTCATCAAAAGTGCAGTTTTGCCCTCCGCTATTAGCTTATTGTGCAAACATGCGGTTTTTATTTACTTTACAGTATTTCATACTTTGGCCTTCATATTGACCTAAATCACACTGGCAGAGAATTTCAGCCATTCCACATTTCTGCTCAACTGCATAATGATAATAATGGGCTTTCAGATATCTCTCAGTTGTCTGGATTGGCTGGAGGTTCTCAAGGACTGGTTGTATGGATGGATGAAAGCTTAATCCCTTAATCCAGAGGAAAATGTTGCCGTTACAGCAGCAAAAAAAAGATAGAAAAAAACCTATAGAAAATTCCAGAATTCACAAATGTCTTAAAAGAGACTTTAATAGCACTGTGGATTCACCAATATGTGCTTGACTGCAGGTAAATAAATACATATGATATACACTGATCAGGCATAACATTATGACCACCTCCTTGTTTCTACGCTCATTGTCCATTTTATCAGCTCCACTTACTGTATAGGTGCACTTTGTAATTCTACAGTTACAGACTGTAGTCCATCTGTTTCTCTGCATACTTTGTTAGCCCCCTTTTACCCTGTTCTTCTGTGGTCAGGACCCCCATGGACCCTCACAGAGCAGGTACTATTTGGGTTGTGGATCATTCTCAGCACTGCAGTAACACTGATGAGGTGGTGGTGTGTTAGTGTGTGTTGCACTGGTCTGAGTGGATCAGACACAGCAGTGCTGCTGGAGTTTTTAAACACCTCAGTGTCATCGCTGGACTGAGAATAGTCCACCAACCAAAAAGATCCAGCCAACAGCGTCCTGTGGGCAGCGTCCTGTGGGCAGCGTCCTGTGGCCACTGATGAAGGACTAGAGGATGACCAACAGAAAATGTGCAGCAACAGATGAGCTACAGTCTCTGACTTTACATCTACAAGGTGGACTGACAAGATAGGAGAGTCTAATAGAGTGGACAGTGAGTGGAAAATTATTCAGTAATGACAATTAAAAATGTACAAGTGAAAAATACACACATGTCGGCACTGCTCAAGGTTACAGTCAGGTCCATAAACATTTGGACCTCAACCAAGCTGTTATTTTATCTCACATAGCATATTGTAATTGAAATTATAATAATGACCTCAGCAAGCAGGCTTTTAGCTTTAACCTGGTGGCATGTACATCTAAATCAGGTGAAAAGTGTAGGAATTACAACCATTTTCATACACAGTGCTGTATTTTTAGGGGCTTAAAAATAATTGAAGAAAACTAACATAACTGTAAACTAAATTGTCATTTTAAAGATCTTTTGCAGTAATTGACTGCCTGACAGCATCTGGTAATGTCTATAGGTCTGGAGTTTCTTCCCTGTTGATGCTCTGCCAGGCCAAGTGGTCAAGTGACTGACTTTGCAATTGCAGACCATCCCACTTCTTTGCCTTGGCTCACATTTTTCCATTTGCATTGGGTCGTTGTCCATCTTCACTGTCAATCTCCATCCATTGAGTTTTGAAGCATTTGGGTGAAGCTGAGCGGACAGTACAGCCCTATACACTTTAGAATGGATCCTGCTGCTTTTGTCAGCAGTCACATTATCAACAAATACAAGAGAACCATTGGCAGCCATACACTCCCGTGCTACCACTCTACCTCCACCATGCTTCACATATGAGGTAGTATGCTTCGGATCATGAGTTCCTGCCCTTCTCCATACTCTTCTCACTCAGTTGATTTTGATCTTGTTTGTTCATAAGATGTTGTTCCAGATCTGTACAGTCTAATTTTGATGTTTTTGGCATGCTCGAATCTGATCTTCCTGTTTTTTTAGGTGTGCCGACAGTTTACTTGTGGTAAACCGTTTTGGTAAACCCACTGTGTTTACTCTGATGAGGTCTTCTCTTGATTGTTGACACCAGGGAAAAAATTCTTCTCTAATCTACCACAGTTGTTTTCATAAGGCTTCTGGGCCTTTTTGTGTTTCAGAATCAGAATCAGAATCAAGCTTTATTGGCCAGGTATGCTTACGCATACAAGGAATTTGGTTTTGGTTACAGGAGCTCACAGTGCACAGTACCAGACAGACATTTACATGTAGTGAATAAAATAAAATAAATATAAAATAAAATAAAATAAAATAAAACATGCATTCCTACCATTACTCACTCAAACACACACACAGTCATACCTGTAAACCTTACATGGTGCAAAGTATGGGTCTAAAGTTAAAGTGCTGAGTGCAGCAGCAGTTAAAGGGTGTACAGTGGCAGAGAAAGGGATCAGTGAGGTAACAGTCCGATACGTGGGGTAATAAGGCAGATAAGTAAGATGCTAGAATAAACACTGGTTTGAGGTGTCAATTCCAGAGGATGGAGGTAAATTAGATACTATATACCAGTATTTATGAAGTGCAGTTTGAAGCTGGAATATTGTTTTTGTGTAATATTTTCACTGTTCAAGAGAGTGATGGCTTGTGGGAAGAAGCTCCTTTATAGTCTGGATGTCCTGATCTTCATCTGGCTGAAGCGCCAGCCTGAGGGAAGGAGCTGGAACAGGTGGTGTCCGGGGTGAGAGGGGTCTGTGGAGATCTTCTCTGCACGCTTCCTGGTTCTGGAGGCATGCAGTTCCAGCAGCGTGGGCAGCTTAACTCCAATAGTCCTCTCTGCAGACCTGATGATGCGCTGCAGTCTGTGGAGGTCATGCTTGGTGGCTCAGCTGCCCCACACCGTGATGGACGTGGTGATGACAGACTCTATGATGGCTGTGTAGAACCGCTCTGAGCTTACTGGCGCATTATTTATTTATTTTTTTAAGAATGTACCAAATAATTTCTTTGGCCACACGTGATGTTGTTTGCCATCTCTCTGATGGGTGTGTTTTGATTTTTCAGGCTAATGATGGCTTGCTTCACTGGCAGTGACAGCTCTTTGGACTTCATATCGAAAATTAAAAGCAGCACATTCCAAATACAAATAACATGCTTGAAATCAACTCTAGACCTTTTATCTGCACACTTGCATATGAAATAATGAGGAAAAAACATGCATCCCTGCCATAAAACAGCCAGGTGCCCCTAAAATGGCAGGGATATGTACAAAAATGGTTGTAATTCTTACACCATTCACCCAATTTGGATATAAACACCCATATATTAAAGCCAAATCTTCACTTGTAACTTATCATTATTTAATTTGACTATTTAACTCTAACATGCTGTGATAGACAATAAACAGACAATAAATCAACAATAAAAAAAAAACATAAAATAACAATAAAGTTAGTCGATATTTATGGACCTGACTGTAATAAACACATGTGTGACTAAAGAAGTGCTAAGAACTGGCTCAGCACTATGTTATGTCAAGTGACCCATGTCCACCCCCTCACCCAATATAAGAACAAACATGTTTCTATTCTTTATAACTTTATATGCAGCACTTTGGCAGCCTCAAGAATACAGTATAGAACCGCAGTACCTGAGGTTCCAGAGGCAGCCCCTGAGGTTCTACAGGCAGTACCTGAGGTTCCAGAGGCAGCCCCTGAGGTTCTACAGATAGTACCTGAGGTTCCATAGGCAGCCCCTGAGGTTCTACAGGCAGTACCTGAGGTTCCAGAGGCAGCCCCTGAGGTTCTACGGGCAGTATCTGAGGTTCTACAGATAGTACCTGACGTTCCATAGGCAGCCCCTGAGGTTCTATAGGCAGTACCTGAGGTTCTATAGCCTGTACCTGAGCTTTCACAGGCAGTACCTGAGGTTCTATAGCCTGTACCTGAGCTTTCACAGGCAGTACCTGAGGTTCTATCTGCAGTACCTGGGGTTCCATAGGCAGCACCTGAGGTTCTATGGATAGTACCTGAGGTTCTAGACTGTACCTGAGGTCCTACATACAGTACTTGAGGTTCTGTAGGCAATACCTGAGGCTCCATAAGCAGCACCTGAGGTTCTATAGGCAATACCTGCATCAGTGCCGTTCAGGCATAGCGTGTCAGAGCTGACCGTTGGGTGGTGGTCACTGTGTGCGAAGACCTGAACACAGTATATCCGGTTGAGAGAGCTCACAGGCACAGAGCAGCGGGGCAGAGACGAGATACACTGATCACTGTTCCACCCTGTCCTACACACACACACACACACACGCGCACACACACACACACACACACACACACACACACACACACACACACACACACACACAGTTAATGTGATGGTTTGGCATAAAAATTTACACAATCTTACCCCAAAATGCAGCCAATCAACCATGTTTACTGTCTGAAGCTTGCTTTTTTAGTTTTAGAGATATTGAGGCTAGAAAATGGAGAAAATGGTTCTACGTAGAACCATGAACACTCAAAGAACGGATTAAAAGATTCCTTGCATCATGAAAGGTCCCTCAGATTGATGGAAAATGTGCATGAATGTGCTATAAATGTCTTGCACAAAATTAAATGCAAAAGTGTGGGTGCCCCAGTCAACTTAAATGTTTTGTTGATTTTCTAAGTGTTCACTATTCGACTTTTTATTGTTATTAATGTTTATTCACTGGAGTCGTGCTGCAAGACAAATTTCCCATGAAAGATAATAAAAGTAAAAAAAGAAAGTGAAACTAAGTACACGTCCTCTACAGAGAACACACATCTGCACATTTTAATACACAATTACTGTTTATGTGCCAAATTCAACAGATTAGGGAAGAATTGGGGGCCTGAGGAACGGTGCAAAAGTAATTGTAGCAGATTTTATATTTCATGTTTATTTTCTCCAATATGTTTGAAATGGTGCACTAAAAATCATTTTTTTCTTTTTTTTTGCGTAAAATTGTAACTATTTGCATATCTGTAACTCATGGTCATTACATTTTCATTATATGCACCTTCCAGTGGGGCGTCACGGTGGCGCAGTGAAAATGTAATGACCGTGAGTTACAGATATGTAAATAGTAACAATTTTATGCAAAAAAAAGAAAAAAAAAAAGATTTTTAGTGCACCATTTCAAACATAAACATGAAATATAAAACATGCTACAATTACTTTTGCACCGTCCCTCAGGCCCCCAATTCTTCCCTAATCTTCCCTAATCTGTTGAATTTAGCACATAAACAGTAATTGTTTATTAAAATATGGGCAGTGGGTAGCGTTGTCACCTCACAGCAAGAAGGGCCTGGGTTTGATTCCCAGCGGGGCGACCAGGGTCCTTTGTGTGTGCAGTTAGCATGTTCGCCCTGTGTCTGCGTGGGTTTCCTCCCACAGTCCAAAGACATGCAGTCAGGCGAATTGGACATGCTAAATTGCCCCTAGGTGTGAATGTGTGTGTGATTGTGAGTGTGGATGTATGTCTGTCTGTCTGTCTGCCCTGCGATGGACTGGCAACCTGTCCAGGGTGTATCTGCCTTCCACCCAATGACTACTGGGATAGGCTCCAGGTTTAGAAAGTGTGTGTATGTATGTATTGTATTCATTTTAAAATATAAGTGAAGATATTAGACTGCAAAATAACACATATGGGTTTATGCAGAGAAAAAAATCTAAATTATTTTATATGTTCCCTCAAGCAGCTTCATGAAGAGCCACCAGGAACAGGACTGAAGAAGTTCCACAAAATTTTGAGACCTTGTTTGTTGCTGAAAACTACACTATATGGCCAAAAGTATGTGGATAGCACCCCCCACCCCCACCCCCCCTCCAAATGACTAAGTTTAGGTGTTTCATCCACACTCATTACTATGGTGTATAAAATCAGGCACATAGACATGCAATCTCAATAGACAAACACTGGCAGTAGAATGGGTCATAGTGAAGTGCTCAGTGACTTTTAACATGCCACTGTCATAGGATGCTGCCTTTGCAAAAAGTCATCTGGGTTTGGCAGATGCCGGGGGATAATAGTCTGAGGCTTTTAAAGTTTCAGGGCTTGGGCCCTTAGTTTTAGTGAAGGGCATGCACAGATATTTTGGACAATTATAAGCTTCCAACTTTGGGGCAACTGTTTAGGGAAGGCCCTTTCCTGTTCCAAAGCGAGGTCCATAAACACATGCTTTAACAAGTTTGGTGTGGAGGAACTCCAGTGGCCTGCACAGAGCTCTGACTTCAATCCCACTGAACACCATTGGGATGAACTGGAACATCATTTACAAGCCAGGCCTTCTCATCCAACATCAGTGTCTGACCTCACAAATGCTCTTTTGACTGAATGGGCATGGTTTTGGAATGGGACGTTTAACAAGCTTGTACAGTTGTGATAGTCAGGTGTCCACATACTTTTGGCCATATATCATACTTTTTGAGGGCTTTCCAAAAAGAAAATAATGAAGTTCTCATTTCGGAAATAAAAAATACATAGGCATGACCTGCAACCTTTACCTTTGTTGTCCACTAGTGGTGAAACACTGAAATTCACTTATTTGCTATTTTTTGGACGCGGATCTCCTCTAAAGTGCAGATGAAGGTGCAGTGCCAAAGTGGTGCACATAATTGCTCAATCTGCCACTCTGATCAAATCGTCTGTAACAGCCAGCTTTGCAGTTTTGTACATCCTGTCACCGAAGGACAAAGCAGACCTTTATCAATATGCCCAGAATGCATCAACACAGAGAAACCAATAGGGACTTTTTCTTTAACAAACCATGACCTTAAATTTAGAGTGAATTTACTGATGGGGGATTTTATACACCTGTGTTTGCTTTATGAATCATTAATATGCAGATATAATATACTCAGAAAACATAGTCGCTTTGTTGTTGGTTTTAACTAGTTTTCTCTCATTTACGTTACTCAACAACTGGATGTCACTGAGTGAAACCCAGTCAGTTGTGTTGTTTCACTGAGTTATCTGATGCAACACAGAGGAGTAAAACTCAGCTGAGATACCATCTATTTGCATTTATTTACTTGTTTTACTGACCCTCTGTGTGTTATCTTCCCCTTAGCATACCTTCACTCATGTCTGCATCTTTCCTATAGTTCCCCTACCAGCTGGGTCTTTGTTGTTGGCTATAAGAGTAAGCTCTATGTATTTTGCTGCTGAGCATGTGATGGCAGGGTGGGAGTGTAATGACTATGCTGCACTACGTAAGCTGTATTATGTATGTTGACCTCATAGACGGAAATGTGTAACATGCTGTGCTTTGGCCCCCTTCCCTAAGCAGATGAATCTGATGATTACAAGCACATTGAAAAAGTATTCAAAGAAGCTGTTCAAATTCAAATCAAACAAAGGAGATTCTGATGTTCTCAAAACAATGGGCTGCCCACTCCAGAGTCCAGACCTCAACATTAATAAATATATTTGGGACTATGTGGATTATGAGAACCAGAAAATGCAACCAACTTCTAAGACTGAGCTTTATATATATAAATATCCCTGCAGATTTCTTTGAAAAACTGAGAGGTAAGCTTCCTGAAAAGAACGGAAGCTGTAATAAAGGCAGAGAGACATGCGACGTCTGTTAAGTATGTTTTCTGCTTTTACTTGCCACTGAAAAATGAATAACTTGTACTTATTAGATGTTTTGACTGACCTGTAAACCCTAATTACTTAAGCTTCCTCAACATACTAGGGGTAACTTAATTTTTGTGGGTTGTTTATTATCAGAGGTTGCCTCAAATGAATTTAGTTTTAAAACTCAGTGTTTTATTTAAGGGTATAAATAAACAGAAATCAACAAACTTACTAGGAATTCTGGGTGATTCTGTCCTGTACTCATTGCTTGTCTTTTTAAACAAGTATACTTGAATTCTCAACCAGACAGTGCAAACAATCATGCCTGTATTAAGTGATATCAACTAATTGCAGGAAAATAAGTAATTATAATTTGATTATTTAAGGATAAATAACAGGGCTTCATAAATAAAGGGACTGACTTGTGCTTTTTACTGTAAATGATGAAGTAAAACAGATATAATCTCGAAAGTGTGCGTGAGGGGACGAAGAGTGCAGAAGTCTATGAGACAGATCACACACTCACTGGTTGACTTGCATGGTGTAGAGCGTATCAGGTTGAGCATTCACAGCAGGTGTCCAGTGACAGGTGACGTTCACATGAGCAAAGAACACACACTCAAGATCTCTGAGTGAGAAAGGTGACTGTGAGAAAGACTCTGGAAAAAAGAGTTAGAAGTATGAAATGCACACATAAATACACACCTCATCAATTTAAGATTGATTTTTTTTCTTTATGTAATTGAAAAAATACCAGCTGCCCCTTCTTGTTGAGTGAATGTGAGGAATGGACCAATAGAAATGGTATAAAATTGCCAAAATTAAAAGTAAGCTACATCACTAGTTAAGAATATTTTTCCTTCCTCTGGAAAGTTACCATTTCATCCATGCCTTCATGCCCTAAAGTATCAAGATATCACTTCTAATTAGTGAATTCAGTTCCTTTAAGGGGCACCCATTGCACCCATTGCTGGCACCCATTGTTCAATAGTGCACACAACTTGTACACTCTTCAAAAAGATGGTTCTTCAATGGTTCTTTAGTAAAGAAAATAGTTCTATATAGAACCATGAACACTCAAAGAACCCTATGCATGATTAAGGGGTTCTTTGCATCATGAAAAGGTTCTTTAGATTGATGGAAAATGTGCTATAGACAGTTCTATATGGGACCTGTTTGAAAAGTGTTCTTCTATTGTTACAAGCTTGACATTGAACCCTTGTTGGTGCTATATAGAATAATTTTCAAAAAGGTTCTATATAGAACCATCTACAGCACATTCTCCATCAGTCTGAAGAACCCTGAAGAACCCGTTAATCATGCAAAGGGTTCTTTGAGTATTCATGGTTCTTTACTAAATTTGCTTTACTAAGGACGCCTTGAAGAACCACCTGTTTAAGAGTGTATAATCTCCATAAAATCTAGCAAAGCTTCAGCAATAGTGGCCACCAGGCCCAATGCCAAGTATCGGCAAGAGGGGTAAGAGGCCCCCCAGCACTGGGCTGTGGAGCAGTGGAACTGTGTTGTCTGGAGTGATGGAGCTCCATCTAGTACTTTTGGAATGCGCTGGAGTGGAGTTCGTGATCCAGAACTAATCATACCACATCAATGACCTTACTAATGCCCTGGTGTCTGAATGCAATCAAATCCTCACAGCAATGTTCCAACATCTAGTGTAAAGCCTTCCCAGGTGATGTTACTGCAGCGATGGGGGGATAAACACCCTATTAATACTTATGATTTCGGAGGAAGCATTAGATGAGCTGGTGTCTACACGTCTAGACATACAGCATAACAGACTTCCCTTCTATTATCTGCAAGTCATTCTTACACATATTTTAATTAGTTTCCTTTTAATGCTTTAACATGACATTTCAAAGCCAAAATAAATAGATTTCAAAGAAAATGAAAAATGTAAATGTCAAAAAGGAAACAAACCTGATGCTGTTAATGGTCCATTGAGAAGATACAACACGATAAGCATGTTATAGTCCATAGTTATCTTGATACATATGAATCCTGTGGCAAAGGCAAGAAGGAGACTGCGAATAAAACTCATTCCATTTTAGCAAATTGTAGCATTAAAAAATCATCACAATAAATAAAGTGTGAAATTTGTATTGCAGAATACTGGTGCATAGTTCGTGTTTAATACTCTCAGTAAGTTGAACTGTGCAGTTGAGTTACTGATTTAATGTTAAGCAGCATCATTTTCATTAAAACAAAAGCTAAACAGAACATCATTTACAGTCGTATGCGAAAGTTTGGGCACCCCTGGCGAAATGAAATGTTTTTGTTTATTTTGAAAGTGAAAATAAGTTACACATCCTCTACAGAGAACACACTTCAGCACATTTTAATACACAATAACTGTTCATTTGCTATATTTAACATATTGGGAAACAATTAACATCTAATGTGGCCTGTGTAAAAGTGGCAGATTGTATATTCAATGCTTTTTTCCACATTATATTAAACACAGCTAACTTTGCCATACTTAAAACCATACTTAAGTGCATTATCTGTAGAGGATGTGTTAACTTATTCTCACTTAGAAAAGCAACAAAACATGTCATTTGACCAGTGGGTGCTCAAACTTCTCATACAGCTGTACGATGCTCCCAGATTATGAAGGATCTGATATGGTCTCAGTGTGGTCTGTAAAACTGCAGGAGCCCTGAGGATCTTCTGGAAGATGTTACAGGAAGATGTTGCGTAAAACACGTACCAACTAATTAAGAAGAAGTGAATATGTCAACAGTTATTTAGTCATAAGGTCATTCTCCCATAAGGCCATATTTCCTATTGTGGACCGGAGCCAATAAGAACATAATTCAGATAAGACTGTTAACTCAGCTTTATCTTTTATGACTGAGAGCCACAAGCACTTTGGGGATATTTTACATTCTAATTTTAACATTGAAATCAACTATATGAGACTACTAGTAGGTAAGACCACTGTTCACATTAATGTAATGTCATCAAGATCACTTAAAATCATTTTACAAAACAGTTCAGTCACCTCACACAAATAAGTGACTGACTACAACTACAACTTAGTTCTCTAAACCAGCTAATTCGAATGAGCTGCATGAAAATATGCACAGTTTTGAGGCATTTTGAAAATAATAAACACATCTGTTTCTTCTATTCTTTATAACATTCAAATTACCAGTTTAGTCCAGTGCAGTCCAGTGTGTTTTACCCTCCATAAGTCCAGATACAACAGCAACGAGCTCTTGTGTCTCTTAAATAAGCCTCTGTTACGTTTGCTCCAACCAGTACAAAACAACTGCAGGGCCAGCCCCCTGCCGTCATCAGAGGAAGTGATATGACATACACGCACACACATGACAACTGCTGAACAATTCAATCCATAAAACATAACCTGCTGATCCCATCACCTGCTTCCTTTTCCATTCTGTTCCATACTTCACTCTGTCCTATTTCATTAAATCCTCTCATGCTCAGGGAACAGGTTATCTGTACTGTACAGAACTGTGCAAATGCCAGAGGTCACCTTCCCAGTCAAATAGGAGACTAGATAGAACACAGTCCACATGCATAAGGAGGAGAAAGTCAAAGGATGAAAAAACAGGAGTTTCCAAAACTGAAGTTCAAAAAATGATTAAAAGATACAGAGCAAATGTGACTCGTAACCACCATGCGAGACCTGGCAGACCACCAAAACTGCCCCCATCAGATAAGCAGTTCAATGTACGCTGCCTTCAACATAATGGTGCTTGTATGAGGGGAGACTGACTGAGGGAGAGGAGAACTCTGAGAACTCCGAGGCTAGAGTTCTGGGCGGCTTCTGATTGGGGCTACAAGGCCAGACCTCTGTTTTTGGATGGTGGTAGGACTGGCAAGGGACTCAGGAACAGGAAGGAAATGCTGACTGCGACATCTTTGTCACAGGAAGCAGAAGGTAGAGATGATAATTTATAGGGTGTTAGATTGGAAGGAGGAGGTGTTTCAGGCATGAGCAGAAAATGCAACCAACTTCGAAGTCTGAACTTTGGAGGTGGGAAAAAACAGCCTGCAGATTTCCTGTGTTTTCTGTTTTTTTTTTTGGCCCCTTAAATGGCCCGGACCCACTGGTGCGTGCAAAGTTTTACTACACGCTTCTATAACCTAAACTGAAATATTAATAACTTGTACTCAAAGAGCACTTGGCCCAGAAATTAAACAAAAGAAGGGTGGCTGCTTACTTTTGCACAGTACTGTATTTGCTGCCTATACACCATGAAAATGCTAAATTGATTTTGCACATCATTAAAGGTGCAGTAAGTGATTTTAATCCAATACACTTTTTGTCAAATTCAGTGAATAAGTCCACCAGCTGTCCGCTCTGGGTGTGCACTGGAAAAAAATACTGTGTTTATACACAGCCCTGGTTCTGTAAATGGGAGACAAAGAAAGTGGCTAGGACAGAGCCACACGACACTATTCCAGCCAATTAGCAACAGAGGGCGTCCATGCTTAGGCACAGGACAGGGGAAGAGGAGTGGGAGGGGCGACTGTATATCTGGCACAAGCTGTGTTGAACTCTATGCGTTGTCAAGAAGGAGAAGTGGCCGAGAAACAGCCAAAGAGGAGACGATCTGAAGAACCAAGATTAAGAAAAACGTTTTGTGATCAGGCAAGGCCGAAGAGTTGTGTTAACATTGTTGTGAGACATTTATACACAAGTGTGACCTCAGAGAGCTGACGAGACTGAAGATGGCTTCCTATTCGTCAGCTTCTTGGTGAGATTTTCAGGTGCCAGACTGTAACTGCTGCACCATTTAAGGTGGAACGGGAAAATTTAAACAAGAAGCTGGCGAGTAAGAAACCGACTTCAGCTTCACCGAGAGTTGAAAGGCATGAAAAGGGATGCGGAGTTTGCTAGCCCAGTGTCGTTCGCCTCGTTAATGTGTGTCAATGAATTTGAGAGGCAGAGCTGAGGGAGCCCTGAAGGGAGGGGTGCATTTGTTTTGCTGTTGAGTTCAAATATCAACAACTGTTCTGCAGAATCACTTACTGCACCTCTTATTTCGATGCTGCTACTGTACCCTGATGCCTATGTATACTGTACACTATTGGATATTTGCACACTATTGTTTACTGACCCCAATGTAACCCTACCATTGTGTTCCAGGGCACTTTACCAGAGCCATGGACTTCCAGTGTTAACTCAGACAAGACTACTTGCAGTTTCAATGCCATGTTCCTTCTATTTTTTTGTCTTTCTATCTGCTTCTCCATCTTTTAAAATTGTTATATGTGTCTTAACTGAATCTCTCTTTATATTCCAAATGACAATAATGATAAACATATTTTCCCAACCAAGCACATAATGAACAATCACGAAGAACCCAGCAGTCAGCTTGAAATACAGTGCAAGCAGTGCAAAACTTGGATGTTTTTGATGAAAAGGCTGATTCTTCAGTAAGTGACCACAAACCCACCAAACCAGCCAGCTATTTCTGAAACTGAAAGTCGATGTTGAGCTGATGCACTAAAAAGGTTTGTTTGGGCAGATCAACCAGATTGCAACTTACAATCACTGTAAAACTGACTATGTTGACAAAATTCTTTCCATTTTCAGTGCTTTTATCAAGAAAAACATTTGTGATCCAACAGCAATACTGGCAAAAACTGCACAGCAAGAAAAAAGTGGACTAGTGCAATGACTAGTTTATGAAGAACCTTTTTGAATGTACTTTTTTTTCAGCTGTAACTAACATTGACAGCAACTAGCTTTATCTCAATGTACTCTTCAGCTGGTCATATAACAGATCAGATAAGAACCGGGTTTCACAACTGCAGAATGACACCAGTATTGTGTGCAAATCTACTAAAGAGAAAAGTACTTAATTGCAGAAAATGTGTTTTGTTTGTGAAAATCCTTAATGTTACACACTGATTTCCAGACTTTGGGACACACTTCAAAACAATGTGATGTAACTGCTCATCGTGTGGTCATGAGGGACAGAGATGCAGTCCCACTTCCTGCTCTAAAATGCAGGGGTGTGGCTAAAATAAAGCTCCGCCTACTGACTAAAACTGTGTTTTACTAGTGACTTTAAAACCTAGGACAGCATTTTTTTAAACACATGATAAATTTACATCTTTAACTTCACTTTAAAAGAAATCAACAAGATCTTAAAAAAATAAAACAAAAAAATGAACCATTACTTTCAGAAGTGTACATTTAGATGTTAGGGTTTGGGACGAGTAGGGTCTGACTGCAGAACAGGAGGCAGCAGTTCCAAGTTTCAGGACCACAATTCCAGGACCCTATGTTTTCGCGACACAGCTCCCTAGCAAAGTCAATATAAGGACCGCATTTAACGCGTGGAAAAGATGGATGATGATAGTCGGAGTGTGAGTACAGAACGTGAATCAAGTTTCATATAATTAACGTTAAAACTTTCTGGTGTTTTGAATTAGACAGCAAAGTTAACTAGCAGACTACATAGTCAAGGCACTATACGTAGTTATCTGTTAGTTTATGATAGATTGCTTCAAAACGAACTGTTAGCCTGCTTTTTTGGAACTGTTGTGCCGTTTTGGCAAGCCTAACTAGCTAACTAGGTATCATATACTAATTATTACCATAATGGTTATGACAATGAATTCTACCCAGCACATTAATTAGAACTCAAAAGACAATAAAAGAATGTCTGTATAATATATGTCTGTCCACTGCATTTAATCAGCGTAGCTTTTTGTCTTCAGTGTAAATACTTAATACTTACTGTTCTACCATTTAATTAAGTTTAAGTAATCCTACTAATTAAACTGTCCTGTCTGTTCACCCCACTATACGTGGTGTTCATTCTTAATAGTCATTATATCAAAAGATGTTTACAGACCTATGTACAAAGACCTGCTGTTCTGTATTGGTATAACAGTATATTTAAAAAATATTGTTTAAAAATGATCCTTTTTCCTTTGGTAGGCCATCATATATGGCCTAGCTGTGCTGAAGGATCCATCCTTGCAGCAGGCTGAGCAGGTCTTCCTCTGTGCTCCAGTTTATCTCCACAGGTAAGAGTAGAGAATGTAATTGTTTTTACATAATGCCATAAAATATTGGTCAATGCTTTAAATTAAAAAGTAGTAACGTCAATTAATGCACCATTTTCAAGTTATCTCTGTTAAGCAAGCAGTGATGATGTTGTCTTTTTACTATTTCAGTGAAGTGGAGGAATTTAACAGAGTGATAGATAAACAACTGAAGAAAGAAGGGAGACCAGTCCATTGGTAGGTAGTGCTGTAACCTAATTCACAAAATGGGGTTTGAGTATTGAAATTAAAACATCAAATGTCAATAACATTAGGTTTTCGCGCATCTCTCTCTCTTGCAGGAGTCGTTGAGAAACCATCCCAGTTTTAAATGTCCCTTTTTAACCCATTTGCTTTTTTTGTGTGTGATTGAGGGGGATTATATCTTACTTGTTGAATCTTGTTGGTTGTTATTGTCGATATATTAAATAAATATTATGGCACCAAAGCCTTTCTTGTGTCTCAAATATCTGGTTGAGATTTAGTGACTGTAAAAGCAATATGTGCAATTGATTGTATCTTTATTTTTACACAATTACACAAAATGCAACTCTTAGTAAACAAGTTTAATTCTGAGACAAAGTAGTATTTGGATGGAATAAGCCTTTAAAATTATAAGTTAGATAAAATTGCAGTATTTGGATGGAATAAGCCTTTAAAATTATAAGTTAGATAAAATTGCAGTATTTGGGTGGAATAAGCCTTTAACACTGTAAGTCAGATAAAGTAGTAGTATTTGGATGGAATAAGCCTTTAAAACTATAAGTCAGATAAAGTTGTAGTATTTGGATGGAATAAGCCTTTAAAACTGTAAGTCAGATAAAGTTGTAGTATTTGGGTGGAATAAGCCTTTAAAACTGTAAGTTAGATAAAGTTGTAGTATTTGGGTGGAATAAGCCTTTAAAACTGTAAGTTAGATAAAGTTGTAGTATTTGGGTGGAATAAACCTTTAAAACTGTAAGTCAGATAAAGTTGTAGTATTTGGGTGGAATAAGCCTTTATAACTGTAAGTAGTTAGGTAGACAGGAAAGAGCATTGGTCATCCACTTCGCTAGGGGGTAGTGTTGCAAAAACATATGGTCCTGGAATTGTGGGCCTGAAACTGCGGTCCCGAAACTGCTGCCTCCTGTTCTGCAGGAATATAGTATAGTTTGGGACAGACACCTCCCAATAGAAAGTAGCCTATAAATGATTATTTTGTATATATTTAGCTTTTTGCCAAAGTATCAATTGATGCTTTGGTTTTAAATAGATCATAATCTATATCTAAGTTCTGAATACTTAATTCTCTGTGGGACCACAGTTTGAACCAATTTGGCAGAATGGTCCATATATGACAATGCGCATCAGTTGAATTATGTATTAATAAACCAAACTATTAAAAAACATCATAACATCATAATTGGCTACAAGGAGGCCTGCAGAAAATGTTAGGCTGGAACATGAATAGATTCAGCTGTACTGTTATTGTGGATTATTTAACCGTAGTACTGTAGACAATGGAAGATTCTTATTTGGAAATTCTACCAATTTTTTAATTGTTTGAGCGGTCTGATGTGAAATGCTCCATTCTAGAGAAACTTAGAGAGTCTGAACTATTCACAGTGGTGGTGATGTATTGGCCTAAAACATCTAATTTTTTTAATCCATTCATGCAATGTGTTTTAAGGCAAAATAGATTTTTTCAGGTTTATGTCTGTTTTACCATCAACATTACATATAAAAACTCAGAAGGCACATGTAAGTTCACTGGCTGTTCTGGATACTAAATAAAATGGAGAGATTTGTGTTGTAGACATTGACTCCTGCTTCCTATCACCAACATTATAAAGAAGTCTGAGTTGGTCAAGATGCAAAACAGAAAGCGGCACCAGAAATAAGCAGTGTTGCTGTGAGATGGCAGCAAAACACTTTTGGAGCGACACTAAAACCAACTACATGCTTGACAAAATGAAGGATTTAAATATTCTTCATCTTCTAGATGATGTATGTTCATATTTTCAGGTAAAGTGACTTAAAATATAAAAAGCTGCGGCATGAAGTTTGAGTGTTACGTTTACGTTACATCTTCTGTGAGTTTTTTGGCAGAAATCTGATTACTGCCTGACTCATGTAGACCCTGATTTTTCCCATTATCTGATTACCCAAGTGCATATAAACACATTGATCGGATTATTGAGAAAACCTGATTTTCTGCAGTTATCGGACTATGGAGTGCATGTAGACACACTCACTGTTTTTAAATAAACCAAATCAGCTTTTCTTAATTAAATTCATCCATTGACAGAACAGCTTTATATAAAAAGTCTATTCAAAAGATCTACTACCTAATTAGAGAATTTACACAGGACTTACTTTGTTAAAGCACAGAACATAGGAACTTCATGTTTGTGTCCATTTGATTGGAGGCTGCGTCACTGAACAGCCACCAACATCTGTTTTCTACAGGAAATCACAGTTTTCCTTAAGTTTTTTTATTATCATTATTTACAAAATATAATAGCAATAATAACCACAAATCAAGGTAACAGAAGCAATAATATATAAATTGCTTAAAAAAAGAATAAAAAGCAGTGTCTCCAATCCCTTTAATAATCCTAAAACGAGCTGAGTATGTTGTAACCTATGGACAAAATGGAAAACAGACGCGTGAGTGTGCAACTAACAAAAGCAGAGACCAGGAGTAAGCAGTACCAGAGAAATCTGGGTGATGAAACATAAGGTGGCTCTGAGTCGGCCAAACCAAAAGACCAGTCCAGAACAGAACCAGTTTCTCAAAACGCTGGATTAGGGTGACTGGACGGGACACTGCTTTTCCCACTTCTTCACACACGCAAACGCAAGCAGACAGGCCGGCCGAGGGCTCTCCACAGCAACGCTGGCAGAAACCTGAGTAACTGTACGCAGTGAGTCAGCTACAGTAGCATCAACAAGATCGCATCACTGGCAGTGAAAGTTCAGGATGCACTCAGTAATGGACCATTCAAAAGAAAACACTTTTTAAATATTTCCAATCAACAGTCCAGACCGTGAGAAAAAGCAAGTCCCTGAAGAAAAAGGGCTTCTTATTGCACAAGGAAAATCTACCATGGCAAAGCACGAACCATGTGATTGAGGGCAAAGCAAAAGAGTGGCTAGAAGCAGCTGCGTCACAATCAGACAACTCATAGGAAAAGCGTCTCGCTAGCTTTGTTTTTGTTGTTTTTCTCCCGCCGCCCCCAATAGGCAACTGGACGTTTCTAAATTGTACAAAAACTCTTTTACTGCAAAAATCAAGTTTTCATAAGAACTACATGCAAATAAGAAAATAAGTCTGACAAAACCAAGAGGTCCACCATCCGACACCTCACTGAAGTGCAAATTCATGAAGCCTCAATTTTTATCAAAAACAGCAACTCCTGTGTTGCTAAGTGAAATCAAGCATGAAGGTAAAGCTAAAGCTAAAAGGGGAACTCCACCAATTTATTTTTGACTGGAATAATTAAATGATGTAAACAAAATCATTCAGAGAGGTTTGCTGTGCAGAGAAACTTGTAAAGAAACTTCAAGTCAAAACTGTTCACAGTGGTGGTGATTAGAAACCATAGCACGTAATGCGTATGCTAAACCACAAAAATATCTATCATGAAGCGGCAACAAATATGTCGCTTTATGAGTTCTGAGATAAGGTTTTGGTCTATGTTTGGCTTTTTTTTCAGAGATGTATACTGAACAGAAATATAAATGCTACACCTTTAACTGAAAAGATTTTTCTGAAACCCTGTAAAAACTGTGCAGGATATGAAACAGAATTCCTATGTTAGTATCTTGTGTGAGCACCAATTGCCTGTAGCAAACCTGCTGCAAAATAAGTGCAAAACCAAAAGCACTGCATTTTTATTTTTGTTTAGTATACATACAGCATGTCTGTAAGACAAAACAACAGAAAACAACAAAAAAAAACATTTACCTAAAACTTAGTTTTACCATTATCAGAATTAAAATAAAATGCCTATATTTGTGTTGTAGTCATTGTGACTCCTGGTTCCCATCACCACCACTGGAAAGAAAGTCAGTTTCCATTCTATGAACCATTTCACATCAAACCACTCTGAATGACTTTGTTTACATCTCAACCACTGAATTAGACAGGAAGTTTGAGAAAAAAAAAAAAACTGTGAAATTCTCTTTTAACTATTTCCCAACATTAAAATGGGTGGGTAGTAGGACACACTAAATAACAATAAAAAAAATCAGGAAACATTTATAAAGTGTGCTCTTCAGAATTATAAACTGGGGTTTCACAGAAAATACCTTGACCTCTTCCCAGACAAGAGCATTGCACTTTGTGACAGTGAAGTCACACAATTCAAAGAAAGCCACAACACATCTGTTTTTCCTCTGGAACCTGTTGGTCAGTTCTCTACATGTGCAGCCTTTTTTGACTGCAGTAGGCAGATTACTATCAGAAAGATTTTCTATGAAATACATTTTCATTAAATTACCAGAATGCACGAAGCCTCATTCTGAGAGGGAGTTTCGGTTACAATCACCCAAGCATTAAAATCAGAAGACTGCTCTAAAAGTTAGTCACTCTGAGATCTTTTAAAGAGTGAAAACAAAACCAAGACGAAAGTCGCACCCACTAATACACATTGAAGAAGCATCAAAGGCCTTTCGATCAAGTCCAGGATTTCTAGATACCAAGCTATTCAATAAAACACAACCAGAGGAACAACTTCTCATCACAGTCATACTAACTGGGCCTAAAAATGAGTCCTTCAACTAATTAAAAGGATTCAAGCATATATAAACGTGGTGCCTAATAACAATAAGCAACTCAGAACCCTCTGCATTAGAGAAATGCTGTATCTAACAGACAGATCAAGCCAATTTATCACTTACTTGCCAGACACTGCCAGAGTAATCATTTACCTCCGACCTTCTAATATGAAACCAGTGACATTCAATACATAAATCTATAAGAGCTATTACATATGCAGAGTAAAAAGTCACCTCTGTTTATTCCAGTGGAAAACTATCTAGCTCCTTTTTTGAGTCCTAAGCCATCGTGTTCATTCTCCCATTTAACTTTTCCAATATGGGTATTCGCAGTGTATGAATTAAAATGTTAAAGCACACATGAACCTACTGATCTCATCCATTTGAGCTGCTGGGATGGCATGTGCATGTTTAGGATTCCTAACAATTTAGAGATACCAGGAAACGCACACCTGCCTGCAGTGGCTATCAGTTTTTACTTTCTTTTACAATCAGGGCTCCTGGTTCAATCATGCTAGTACATGCCAAAGACTGTGGTCAGAAAAATCCCCATGTAGACAGAACAGAACCAATTACTGACTGGGTGATTAACCGCAGCACATGTTAATCCCATCAGTGAGACCCCCAAACGTTAGGTTCATATTCATTATAACTAAATGGACAGCAAGTTTGAATAGGATGTAAAGCAGGGTGTAAGCGAAGATACTACCAGCAGTTTGACCTCCTCAGTAAACCTGCAAAGCAATGTCACAGTAACCCTCCAAATAAATTAAACTGCATTTTCTAAATGATTCATTGCAAAACCTGAGGGAACCTACTTGTTCAGTTTTAACTGACCGTAGCTTAACCCTGCTGAGACCTCAAGAAGGTTCTTAAAGGCTTTTCTGATGTTCTTGGTAAGATGTTAATTACATGTAGACTTGCAGGCACCTGGTAACGCAGGAGATAAAGCAAGGCAGCCTGCTTAAAAACAAAGAGAACTAACCAACAGGACACAGAGAAAAAAGCAACAATACCGGAGATTCACAAAAGTACGGTAAACAGCTCTTGGACATTTCTTCTCTCAACCGCTCCTATAGTTCACACCTGTCCCCAGTTGAAGGCTTCAAGCGATGCCACGCTTTGGCAAAAATGACAGCTGACAGGGAAAAAAATCTGGAAATCTCCAGCTGAGGCTTGAAGTGTCTTCCAGAATGAACTCTGTGCTGATCTTTACTGCATAAGTGATCGTGGCTGGAGGGATGGACGATACAGAGCAGAGGAAGGGCACAGGTAGCACCCCACAGCCCCAAAGTCCTGGACCGAGATGGAAGGAGCAATTGCAGAGGCTGGAACAGGGGTAGAAGGTAAAGAGAAGTCGGTCTGAAGTCGCCTAGAAGCTCTGCACTGAGAGCCAGACGGTACACTGTCTAGAGAACCCAGCTGTGGCTGGCAGAGGCCAGAAGCCAAAAGGTCTGGTTCCTGCTGACGGTGGTGAGGAGAGGTATAAAGCTGACTGGAGGGAGAGGCTGCCAAGCTGTCTGGGCTGAGACAGTCCACAACAGGCCTCTGGAGCTCCTGTAAAGGCAGGACAGGTGAAAAAGAGCTGTACAACGGCTCCCTCTGCAGGCTGGAGTGAGGACCTGAGCGCAGCTCCATCTCCCTGATTTCTAACTCAGCACCTGAAGAGTGGAACAGGAGAAAAGTCAGCATGAGAAAAGAACATGTTGAATTAAACTATATATACTGTTTCTTTTTTTCCCTTAATTTGGCCAAGTCAAAGCTACTTGCTTTTTACATATTACATATTGTTTTCATATTACATAATCAAAGTTTTTACATATACACCGATCAGGCATAACATTATGACCACCTCCTTGTTTCTACGCTCATTGTCCATTTTATCAGCCCCGCTTACTATATAGGTGCACTTGGTGGTGGTGTGTTAGTGTGTGTTGCGCTGGTACAAGTGGATCAGACACAGCAGTGCTGCTGGAGTTTTTAAACAACTCAGTGTCACTGCTGGTCTGAGAATAGTCCACCAACCAAAAACGTCCAGCCAACAGCGTCCTGTGATCACTGATGAAGGACTAGAGAATGACCAACACAAACTGTGCAGCAGCAGATGAGCTATCGTCTCTGACTTTACATCTACAAGGTGGACTGACAAGGTAGAGTGTCTAATAGAGTGGACAGTGAGTGGACACAGTGTTAAAAACTCTAGCAGCACTGCTGTGTCTGATCCACTCGTGCCAGCACAACACACACTAACACACCACCACCGCCACATCAGTGTTACTGTAGTGCTGAGAATGATCCACCACCTAAATAGTACCTGCTCTGTGAGGGTCCATGGGGTCCTGACCACTGAGGAACAGGGTAAAAGGGGGCTAACAAAGTATGCGGAGAAACAGATGGACTACAGTCTGTAATTGTAGAACTACAAAGTGCACCTATATAGTAAGTGGAACTAAAAAATGGACAATGAGTGTAGAAACAAGGAGGTGGTCATAATGTTACGCCTGATCGGTGTAATTTGACATGTTATATAACTTTGCAGAAGTTGCAGAAGTTATATACCAAATTTATCAAAGCCCAGTTGCTGGATTTTCTACCTCATTCTGTGTACGTATGCCTCATATACAACAACTATTATTCAGTTTTTGCTTAAAGACAGCATGTCCTGTGTTAAGAAAACACAACATAAGACATCTGACAAAGCTTGATTAATCCAGCCTAGAGGTGTTATGAATTGATATTTTCCTAGTCAAAAAATATCACGGTTTCACGGTCTCACTCCCTCATGCATTTAATTAAACTTATTAACTTGGCATTATCCTTGACCATCACAAAGTCTCGTGACATACACACTTGTGTGAAAAGAACAAAAAGCAAAGGAAGACAGATTTAACCTTCTACCATATTTACACTGACTCCATTGTGTGTTGCTTCTGTCAGTAGATATCCAATGTGAGTTCATTCTGGGAGGATTACTGGAAAAAAATGATGTAATTACATAAGATGTTTTGCTAACATCTTTTTGAGAATTACTCTCCCCAATGACATCACATGGTCATGAGCTTCTTGTGAGAGTGAAGGCATGTGCATGGGATATGGGGTTACACCAAGAAAGAAAAAAGTCTGTAACTGTAACTCTGTAACTGATCTTGTTTCAACATTACATTATTATATATCTAGGTCAGTGGTTTTCAACCTGTGGGTCGAGGCCCCCCCAGTGGACCACAGTGGTACTGCTAGGGGGCTGGTGTTTCGCAATTTATTATTTTTATTTATTTATTTATTTATTTTTTTTACAATGTGTAGACAAGTAACCAAATGTTATTTTAAATAAGAATTAATAAATACACTATATTTGGAAAAATCAAACATCATATTTAGGTCGACCTCATTTATTAGTCTGGCAAGATGTTTGCTCTGTTTAATGTCTACATTTTCAGTCCAAGCCAATGTGAAGTGTTTCTCTTTTCATTCGTATGAAATTCATCCATCATGAATTAATGGTTATGAACAAGATTTTTCAAAAAACAAGGATCCCAAGGCTACATATAAGTGAAACAGCCACTGTATCTCACTGAGAAAATCAACCCAAGCATAAATCAAAATTATGAAAAACACAGCAGTCAGTACCACGCCTGATCGCACAATGACAAAAAATAAAAAAAAAACAGGCAGAAGGTCTTTAGGTGAAAGATCTCATTTGCTCCTCACAAAATGGGCAAATGATAAAACTGAGTGGGCTTCTTCCCATTCTGCAAAAGTAAAAGTTCACCACCTCATCCAGGACCTGGAACTTTAGGAGAGCTTTTGGATACAGCTTGAATGTTTGTAACTCTGCACTCCATTTGAGCTGTTTTTGGAGATGCTAACACTATCCGTAAGAAAGCAGGAGGCAAATAAATCCAGTAACCAGTGAAATTTCACAAAAATGCAGCATTTTCACCATTTCAAAAATCATGTTTGGTGTGCAAGATATTAGCAGTTATACACATGATTGATCTAATTTATTGTCCGAAAATGTTGCATGAATAAACTGTCTTTTGTGTGTAAAGGATTTCAGGCTTCACATGTCCGAGAACAGAAAAACAAGTAACTACCATTCAATGCTGGATGCTCAGAGGTGTTTTTATTAATAAAGCTTTGAAAACAAATGACACTGTCAGTTACAGGCTAAACACATATACATCTAAACCTAGTGAACTGAGCCAGACCTCCTTTCGCAACTTACTTCTTCAGCATGTCATCCAGCACTTGGTAGCTGCCAAACAACATCAGCTAACTCATAGGTGACTTTTTTGGTGAAACAAAAACAGGGCGATCTTCTACTGGGCCGATCTTCTACTGCTATGAAGCCAATGTGGAAAATGTCAGGAAGGCTGCTCTAGTTTGATTTAGACTGATTTAAGAGGGCGGGGTCAGACCTCAAATTAAATGAGAACAATTGGTTTAAGCAACACACAGAAAAATATTGCAGATGCAACAACAGATGGCAAAGGATTTTATGCACTATTCTGAACAAGTCATTGGGGTAAGCGTCATATCACACATGTGATTAACCGTGAAACCGTGACAATGTAACAAGCCTAATCTAGCCTCAGTCTTTCTTTCATTCAGCCTCTCATCTGGTCCCTGTTCATCTGCTTTTACCTGGGTGCCCTGAATGGTATTGTGTGGTCAGTGTGCAGTGAGCTCAGGGCTTTAGGAGAAAGCGGGGCGTGCGTTTCCGTCTCGGCCGACCCTGTACCTGAGCAGCGAATCTCAGGCTCGCCTCCTCTGGAGCCCCATGCAGGTGAACACAAGACCATGAACAAAAAACACACAGCACAGACACAATGGGCAAAAACAGGCCAATGAAGAAATGGATGGAGCAAATCAAAATTATGATACAACTTAATCACTATGCAAGATTCCACAGAATATCAAGCCAAATAATGCCGTGCAGGGAGGAACTGGTGTGACAGAACAGAAGTAGGGTGTGAAATTAACAAGAAAAGGGTGTGGAATGGTGTTTTAAAGCAGTCTTGTTGAGAGCTGTGGAGAGGCTGTTATGAAGGTGTAAGTGTGGGTACCTGACTGCTCCACCTGCAGGACAGTAGATGGTGATGGTGGGCGAATCTGCAGGCTCGAACTGTCCACTTCACTGTGCTCTCCATCTGCCTCTCCATCCTCTCTAAAACCCAGAAACACACAGACAGAGGTAGATCAGTAAATTATACAGGACCTCAACAGCATTTTACAGGTTTTAAATAATCAGTCATATTTGTAATTGAGTACTCATTCTCAAAATCACCCTTAAAGACAATATTTGAAGTGCTCCTCAGTTGAAATGTTCTTAAGTTGCACAAATGTTCTTAAGTTGCACAAATAAGCTTCCATTTTAACCAATGTTTCATCCACCTCAGCAGCACATCTTGCTCCCAGTAAAACTTCAGCCCCTTTCGATTTGATGCGTTTTTTATGCATGGATATTTTTTTCACTTGTGTGTGAGTGAATTGTAAACTCGATTGAGATCTAGTCAAATCACACACCCCCACTTTCTAGTGTCCTAAACCAGGGTTTCTTAACCTTTTCCACCCCAAGGCCCACTTGTTTGTAACTATAAAGCATAGCAGCCTCCAGAAAAACTAAAATCAACTTTTTTTTTTAACAGTTTTTCTTTTTTTTAACTGCTCACACTAAAAACCCGTGAATTAGGGCCTGAAAAAGATGAGATCATCAATTTCACTTCAATCACAGAAACCAAAATTTATAGTGAAGTTAAAAAACCATGTGTTTGTAGAGATGTCAAAAAAAAGGGAGAAAAAGAAAATAAGGGAGATGTAGATGTGGACTGTGATTTGGAGCTGCAGTCCATCGCGTTTTCACTGAAAATGCTCTTGTGGCTCCCACAAGAGTAACTGTTTGGTCTGGAGTCTCTTTAGTTTTAAGGGTTTTAGCGCCTCATTTGAAATAAACCACACTCCACTCAGTGGGCTTCTGGATTAGCGTAGCCACAATTAACAATAATAATAAACCTTACTTGATCTCTGCTTCTTCATCAGTAGTTTAGCAATTTGAGTTTAACTACTCAGGTCGCAGATGCTCGTCCAAAAATCAAATGCAGATCTTCTTTATTATTTTAAGGCTAAAGCAGCAGATGAGAACGATATGAGAGCAATGAGAGTCTGTAAGGAGGTTAAAACAGGCAGATTATGCTGACAGTACAGCACTGACGTGCTGATAGCAGAGGAGGAAAGCCAGCGCTACTGATGAATTTCCTCGTTTAAATCATAAAATGCGTCCCACCAGCAGTGAACTCAACAGGATTCAGTTGGAAGCGGACCGAGACCCACGGGTTTTTGCTGGACCGGTTCAACTGTTTGATGCAGACCGGAATACAGTGGAGTGTTCACATGTATCAAAACGGAGCGAACTAAAGAAAAAAGTCTGATAGGTCGGCACCAAACAAGGTAGGAGAAACACCCTGAGGAACCTCTCCATCTCTGGCTAACTCTGCACTGCACGCCAGCAGCTGCGTTGTTCCAAACCGATGATGTTTAATTAGCCTGTGACTGCAATATTTTATTTATACATCTCTACCGACCCACTGCGGACTATTGTTTCTTCCTGAATACAGGCCCACGAACCACTAGAAGTTGCTTCATGGCCCACAGGTTGAGAAACCCTCTTCTAAACTATATTTAAAACAATAAAAAATGATGATCTTGGTGGCCTTTTAGTTTTAGACAAACTCTTGCTCTCTCCACATGCTGTATGGTATGTGGACTCTCCTCTTTTCTAACAGCAATGGCAGTAAAAACTTCTGATTTTGATTTTGGCACAATAAACAGATCTGCTGTTTGTGCGATCAAGTTTGAAACTTGCTGTAAAACTGTTTAATTAGACAACTTAGCCACTTCTGCTCTTGTAGCCTCAGTGGCTGCCTGGCAAGCAGTGTAGTTCGCTGTACTCTGAGGCAAGGTGATGTTATTTATGATGCATTCAACTAAACCAGTGATAATTTATTCATTCTTAACATTTTCTATAAATTAACAATATTTATTAACTCCAAAGGCCTTTGCCAATAAAATGTATTCCAATTTAATAAATCAGCACTGGTTTCTGGCAGTGCCTTGACTTGAGAGTATCTTTAGCCTGTGCCCTATTCCAAAGACAAGTTTTCTAAGAAGAAGCAACAAAGCACTTCTGCGAGTCCTTCTTGATAAGAGTGCCTGCCAAATGGTGCAAATGTAATGCTAAGATGGATTAAATCAAACACTAGATAAGTGGATACAGGAAGGGTTAATGACAGGCTTCTGTTAAACATGTTTTTAAGGAAATTGAGCTTATAAAATTAGGTTAAACCACCCAATTAGCTATTTGATACACAGGGCTCCAGCAAGAGTCAGTCCTACTCACATGTTTCCTGACTGCAGAGGGTACTTTTTGCGTCCCAGCTTGGTGGACTGCTGGGTGAAGTACTCATGACGCTCTGACTTCTTCCACATGTAGTAGTACTCCACACACTCTCCTACTGAGCGTGTGCGTACCTGAAAGAGAGAATGAGAGAGATTGAGAGAGAATGAGTAAAACAGAGAGAGAGAGATGAAAGAGAAAGATGAGCAAGAAAGATGAGAGAGATTAGAGACAGACATAGTTTTGCTGCGTGTGCTGGTAAATGAGATGGGAAATATTCTTTGTAGAGTAACTCAGGGTTTGCACTCTTTTTAGGAACCCATTTTCCAGGACTTTTCCAGGATAAATTCCAGAAGAATTTCCATGATTTATATACACAACAGCTGTTGCACACAAAAGGTCATCTGAAAATGCCACACTACTGCCAACATCCATAACATTAAAGTCAACAATACAACTCATAATGACCCCTTACTGACCAAACGATATACTGTCTCACACTCACACAAACAATTCCTCAACCAAACATCATCTGATCATAAGCTCTACAGAAATATTAGACATGAATGTGACACTCTGGAAGAAGCTGCTGTGTTAACGTAGCTTTGCTTTATCAGGAGTTCCGATAGGAGTTCTGTCCACATGCACATTACAAACTACAGTTGGAATAAATTATTATTCTTGTCAGGACATCTGATCAATTTTCTTTCTTCCTCATGTGTTTAACATGGCTGGAAAACTCGACAATATTCCAGGTTTTCCAGAATGCACTGGAACCCTGGTAACTGGGTTTAAAGTCAGAGAGTCACAAAGGTTCTCTAAACAGTTCTTGTCTGATTAAAAACACTAATGTGGGGTATTAAGGCATAGCCACTCACCTTGTTGGCCTGTATAAGGTGGAAATTCTTCCCATGGACACGATATCCATGCTCAAAGTTTCGACATTCCTCCTCACTCCAAGCACAAAGCTCCTCTGAGGAATAAACAAGGTTTACAGTTTTCCATCATAAGTAAGCTCTTCAAAAAGATAACTTTATAAGTAAAGCTGCAGATTAAGGTTTCCTAACTGGAAACTGAAGTCATCATGCATATTAATGAATTAATGAAGTGAAAAAATATATGTACACTGGCTTGTGAGAATCTAAACAGACTGAATTCATATACAAACAGATTTGCAGCACACAATGTGGAAGAAAAGGAATCAGTTGCATGAAACTGTAAGACAGGAACTGGACTGTCTTACCACTGAATACTTTCACATTGAATCGCAGTCTCCTCAGAGCCTCCTCTGCATTGAAGTTACATTTCACCAGTTCATATAGTGCCTTCAAAAGCACAAAGGGATGAATGAGCAGTGGGCAATGTTTATCAATTAACAAATGAGTAAATCAAAGAAAAAGTGTCAAAAGACTCTAGCAATGTCAGTTCATGGTATCAGTGTTTGCTAATCAGCAAATGATATTACCCAAAGCTGGCCTATGCAGTGTAAAAAGTGGGAAGTGAATGCACACCACCATTACCTAGACACTAACAAAACATTCAAACTCCCATAGAATAGCTGGAGATTAATATTGTCTTAGCACTGGTATTCAGGCTACTCAGAAACTGTAGATTTCAGCAATAAAGACTCCTATATACAGTACTGTGCATGTATTAGGCACCAAAGCACATCATTTAAGACTATTTATCTTTGGAATAAGTGTACCTGTGCTTGTAAAAACATTATATGTATTTTATCAATAAGTACAAATAAATATTAATTCAGTAAAAAGGAACAAGAATGTCTTGTTTTAAAATAGTAGTTGATATATTATGACCAAGTTTAAAGAATAGATTTTGGTTCTAGATTTATCCTGGATGCCACACATGGATTTGTTAAATTCCTTCACCAGCACCCTTGATTTAATATAATAAAATACTGTTTAGCCTGAATGACAACGATAAATAATACCGGGGAGCCACGAGAAGAGGTTTGGAAACGGTAAAATAAACAAGCAAGCAAACTAATACATAATAGATTGTAGTTGATGGTATACAGCGGACAACCACTGAATATTATCCAAGTATTAAATGTATTTCTCTGTACTCATATAAATGTGCTGGTACGTGATGGATTTTTCTTAACCTGCTCATTGTCTTTGACTAGGTCTCCTGAGGTCAGGGTGTCCACAGCCCCGTCCTGTCCTGCTCGTCTCTGTACATGCAGTAAGAACTCCTCCACAGCCGTGGCAGACATCACCCCTGGTGTCCATAACAACTGGTCCTCGATCTCATAGGCTGGTTAAGAGGACACATTTCCATTAAAGACATCTATTCCAACTAGAACAGTATGGAATTTCATCTGAAACAGTGAAGCAGAAACTGTAAGCAGAAAGCTAAAGACAACTCACCTTTGTCATAGCATGTGTAGGAGCCGAGAGGAGGAATGGTGGCTTGGTACTGTGGGCCTACCATGATGTCCTGATTTAAAAAATAAATAAATAAATAAATGAAAACAATGCTTCTGTTATTGCGCTTAAGTAACTGAATAAATGTTGATGAGCCTAAGTGTCCGCTGGAGTGTGAAGTGAAGCAGGCCATCACTGGAGTAATGAATCATGCTCTACTATCTGACTGTCTGACGGATGAATCTGGGTTTGGCAGATGCCAGAAGAAAGCTACAAACCATAATGCACAGTGCTGACAGTAAAGTTTGGAAGAGGAGGGATACAGTCTAGGGCTATTTTTCAGTGTTTGGGCCGCTTAGTTTCAGTGAAGGTTAAGTTTAATGTTACAGCATACAAAGACATTTTAGACAATTATATGTGTCCAACTTTGTGGCAACAGTTTGGCCCTGTCCTGTTCCAGCATCACTGTGTCCCTGTGCACAAATCGAGGTCCATAAAGACATGGTTTGATGAGTCTGGTGTGAAGGATATCTAGTGGCTCCACACCAATAGCTCACTGTCCACTCTATTAGACACTCCTACTCAACCACACTGGACACCTTTGGGATGAACTGGAGCATTGATTGTGAGCCAGGCCAATGTTTGTGCCTGACCCCATAAATGTTCTTTTGAATGAATGGGCAAAAATTCCCCACAGACACACTCCAAAATCAAAGCCTTCCTGGAAGAGCGGAGGCTTTTATAGCCACAAAGGAGCAGCTCCATTCTAATGCTCTTGGTTATAGGAGGGGACATCTTAGTGACTCTTAGCTCTGCATAGTGCTGTATCGTACCTTATAGTGTAGTTTACAACAGCATTGCAAAATTACACTATACGGTCTATGTGCTGATGCTTTACCTTGCGTCCATCATTGGATGGAACGGTGCTGTCTGAATCTTCGTCTGAGGAACTGACTGCTGCGTCTTTGTCTTCATTTGGAAGGGCTGGGTCTGATGTGTGGAACATCATAGAGCACTTTTAGATACAAGAGGTTAAATAATACAGATCAAAGCTTTATATAATGTTTAGTAAGGCTCACACAGAATCTTTCCCGAAAGCTTATCATTTATGTCATTTAATCCTAAACTGACAGACGTTACTTGTAAGCGATTTGCTGAAATTAGACATCGCAAAATAAGTTTTGTTGGCATATTCTCATCCTGTGACTGGTGTTTGTGTTTTTTTGGTTTGTTTTTTTTTTCTAAAATGCAATTACCATTTACATACACCATAACGAGTCACAATGGATATCTATATTGTGAGATTTTAACTTAATCTTAACTTCACTCCTTTCCTATTTTACTGATTCTCACAAGACTCTTTATGTGATAATCTATTAGACATAATTTTCACTCCCTTAGTTAGCTTTTGTTGAACTTAATCAGGTCCTACACCAACGATGTCATACCTATAAGATGGCATTGCAAAAGATCAGAAGAATGGGAAGTAACCGATGTTTTAAGGTCATCAGCAGAGGACCGAGTGTCCTCATCCTCCTCTCCTGACAACAGATCCTTGGCATTCTAAACAAGCAGAGAACTCCATTAACCCATCATTCAACTGAAGAGCAACCGGACTCATTCTCTTTATGTTTGTCTAAACAACACAAAGACAGCTCTGTACTGATCAAGATGTGTGTTTCCATAAACCCCACATAAAACATTATCTGATAAATCTCCTAAAAAGTGCAAAAATTACCCCATAAGACAGAACGCCATATACACCGATGAGGCATAACATTATGACCACCTCCTTGTTTCTACACTCACTGTCCATTTTATCAGCTCCACTTACTATATAGGTGCACTTTGTAGTTCTACAATTACAGACTGTAGTCCATCTGTTTCCCTGCATACTTTGGTAGAGTTAAACTGGAGTTTTTAACACTGTGTCCAGTCACTGTCCACTCTATTAGACACTCCTACCTTGTCAGTCCACCTTGTAGATGTAAAGTCAGCGACGATAGCTCATCTGCTGCTGCACAGTTTGTGTTGGTCATCCTTTAGTCCTCTATCAGTGGTCACAGGACGCTGCCCACAGGATGCTGTTGGCTGGATCTTTTTGGTTGGTGGACTATTCTCAGTCCAGCAGTGACACTGAGGTGTTTAAAAACTCCAGCAGCACTGCTGTGTCTGATCCACTCAGACCAGCGCAACACACACTAACCCACCACCACCACCACATCAGTGTTACTGCAGTGCTGAGAATAATCCACCACCAAAATAGTACCTGCTCTGTGAGGGTCCATGGGGTCCTGACCACTGAAGAACAGGGTAAAAGGAGGCTAACAAAGTGTGCAGAGAAACAGATGGACTACAGTCTGTAATTGTAGAACTACAAAGTGCACCTATATAGTAAGTGGAGCTGATAAAATGGACAATGAGCACAGAAACAAGGACATAATGCTATGCCTGATCGGTGTAAATTAAAACGAAAACCAATTCACACCTTGCCAAGAGCCAGAGGAGCAACAAACTACATTGAACATGGAAAAACAGTTTTATTTAAGCAACTTCAAGTGCTTTAATACATAGATGTTATCCTCTAGAACGTTACTTCAGCAGACAGGGGTCAGTGAAAAGTCCTACATCCCACAAAGGCAATGTTGTTACTGTTGAGCTCAGCTTATGGGTTTGGTGGTTCTCACCTTGTCTATCGTAGTTTCTGGCAGTGAGGCTGCCGTCTCGCTGGGCTGGCGGTTCTGCTGCAGGACAGGGTGGGACATGTCATAACCGTACAGGGCCAGCAGTTCCTCTAGGGGTATTTCGCCACCCTAGAAAACAAAACATCAGAAAACTCCACATGATTTTGCCCCCTAACACAATGTCTGAAATGTAGCACACACTTTCACCTTCATACACCGTTTTTTGTCCAACCCTCTTCACACTAATCCTACCCTGTCTATGGAAATTGCAAGGCAGCCAACAGATAGAGCCGTGCTACTTAAGAAGTTGTATTTAAAGAGAGACAGAAGTCTGTTTATAGTAGTTAAGCCTGTATTTGTGCTCCTCCTAGATGCCATTAGCTGGTACTCAACATGAAGTGTATCTGAAGAGTTTTCTCTACTTAGACAGCTGATGCAGGTCCCAGAGCACAGAATGCAGAGGGGAGCCTATGGTTTAAGTAAGATGACGGAAAGAGTCCTCCTTCTTGTACCTTTAACAACCTGCCCTCTCAAAACATTCCCTCAGGCTTCTTACTCCTAACTGATGCACATGTAAACATGGTCACACATTACAAGTGAGAAGATCTTATAGGGCCCAAAACAAGACATGAAACTGTATTTTCACAGGCCATTAAACAATGCTATTCTAAATATCTTGTAAAAAAGAGTTGATTTGCTAATCCATAATCCTTTAAAACACCATTTTTCGTTCACAGTATACTCACACAATATAGGGCTGTGTGTTTGCTCATTGTATGAAAGCCTGTTTCCAGCAGGTAGAAGAAAAAATCTTATCTGTCTGTTTCAGGTTCAATATTATTTGGTCTAAATGACTTTGACTTTGAGTGTAACAACTTAGCTATGTGCACTAGATTCTTTCCCAAACAATCCTTTAGAAAGAAAAACTGTCAAAATGTTTATTTAGCCAAAACCTGCTCTTTAAAAGTGTAAAATATACCCATGTTTATGAGCAAAAACAGTTTGAAACATAGTTTTGCCAAAACTATTTGGTTTTAGGTTTATTTGCTTCATCACATTAAGAACAATGTGAAATGGCAGACTTTAACAAGTGTTTTGTATAGAAAAAATAAATGTGCTTTCTCTGTTTCTGAGCAAAAACCATGGCATCCATGTTAGCATCAAAGATAAAACAAGCTTGATTTTTTTTCACAGCATTTTAAACAGCGCATACTTAACATCAGGGTTGGTAAATCAGAGAAGGTGCTTCATTACAATAAATCTCTTCCCAGTATTTTGCTCTTTGAGAGGAAAACTTCAATAAATGCATACGTTGTGACTTCTAGCATATTCACAGACCAATCATGTTTCAAAGGAAAAAGTAAGGGCAAATCATGTTTCAGCTTTCACAGAGGACACCCCGTTTTTAAGTGCAGTATGAAAAAGGCTTTTAGTTGTGTAATTGAGGCACACAAATGCACTAGGGGTGGGAATCTCTAGGCACCTTGTGATTCGATTACGATTCAGGGGGCTGCGACGTGATAAGACGATTATCGATGCATCTTGATTAATCTTTTTTTTCTGTACAGGATTTCTTTTTTCTCACTGTGTGAGGACTTGGTACGTTTAAAGCAAATTGTAATGGTCCACAAAGAATTTACTTCCAATATCTTTTATTAATAGAACAAATGCAAGTGATGTGGCAAGTGAACTGGAAGGCTCTCATTCACTGCTCTTGTTTGGAGCACATGTACACTAGCTGCCACTCATCTGTGATAAAATGCGCTGTTACGCTGATGGGCAGGGGGGTGTTATTTTGGCTCCAAAGTGGGCAACACAGCGCGAAAGCCTTGGTTTTCAACGACTGAGAACCGGACACAAATCCTTGGCAATAAAAGTTATAGATAGATAGAGTTTGTAATTCGCTTCCGAATTGGGTGGAAGTTTTCACATCGCTTGCTCGATGGTCCTCTTGTTGGCACCAAGTACAACCGGTAGAAAAATGGGTGGAAACGTGTAATATGGTTTCTCATGTTTGTCATTTCCAAAATATTTTATTTTAGTGTGACACAATTTGTATATATTATGGCTCTTATCCAGGTCCCTTTTCCCCTGGCGTGCAGTCTGCAGGTCACCTAGCAACGCAGACAGTCTTGCCTAGCTAGTAGTGAAAACAGCTCTTCTTAACATTTGGGTTATCAACTCCTGACCTAACCTAGCTTTTAATGCAGAGGGTGCCAGTCATATTTCTCACTCATCCAGCTGTGTTTTTGTTATGTGTCGTCACAGAGTGTCCGGGCGCTGCACTTCTGCACTTCCAAATTCCGCCTTTAGCGTTCTGTCAACATTACGTTATAAATTAAATATTTATAAGATTGATTTTTGACATTTGTGAAACGATTCAGAATCGTCCACATCCGCATCGCGATGCATCTAAGAATCGATCCCCCCCACCCCTAAAACGCATGCACAAAACCACTTGAAATCAAGTCATTTTAACCATGCTGGAAAGTTGAGTTCACTGTTAAATGTCTACCTAAAGTGATCTCAGCTGTCAAATTTGTTTATCTGATTACATGGAAATGGAGCATACAACATATTAATTCAAAATGCTTTAAAATTGGAAAGTTAAAGAAAAAAAAAAGTCAGGCCATTTCAGGGCACAGGACTAGCCTTCTACTCTTTTACTTTGAACAACTAAATGTGCTTGTTTTTACTTCCCTAAACTGGCCAACAGTTGATGAGCAGAGTAGTTTGATTCACTGTAATGAAAATGCAGTGTTAACTTGAACAGAGCATATACACTGCAGATTTTAAAAATACATAAACAAAACAATAAAAATACTCCACATGACAACAAGCACACATAGGTCTGTACTATGATCTAAATAGTTTACAGTTCCACCACCGTCCCAATTTCGAATCTTATACCTGGGCTTAAGGCCAGGTTAATATAAATAAGCCAGCAGAAAACATTTTAGTGTAACACTGGTTCATATACAGTGAATGAGTACAGTAAGTATTCAGACACTTTTCTTTTTATTATTTAATGCAGTTCCAGTGCATATATCCACACTTGTCTTTTGACCTATAAATATGAACAAATAGTACATATTCATAAACATAAAAAGGGGAAAGATATGGGAAAACATTCACAAAACTAAAATTTACATTATATGTAAAGGTTACAAATAAATCAAGTTCTATATATAAATGTTGAAAAAATAAAAATGTTATCCATTTGCACCTGGTGTCATCATAAAATACTTGGTTAAAAGTATAAAAGGTCAGGAATATCTAAAGATCAGCAGTTACGGTGAAGGTGAAGGACAACATCATTAAACAACACTCAAATGGAAAATGCCACAGAGCCCTAACAAAGATTTTCTACATCTCTGTCAGCACAACTGGTTCAATAACATGCAAGTAGAAAGTTTGTGGAACCACAACAGATTGTCTCCAGGGAGGTGCACCATGCACGATATCTCTCAGACCAACAATGAGGAAGGTAAGAGAGAAGGATGACCTGAAAGCATCAGGAACTTCTTTCCTTGCAGAACTTCTCTGCATTTTGTCAACTTTATTGCTTTGGTCAGATAACACTGGTCAGGTATGAAATATATTATAGCACATAAAAAGAACTCTTTTGATGATAACTTAGCTCGTCGTATTTAGAAAAAGAAGGGTTGCGCGTTTAATCCCAAGAACACCATACCCATAGTGAAGTAGGTGGATACGGGGCTGATTCTCTGCAAATGGTACTGGGGAAATTCACTTCAATGAAGGAAATATGGAGTGTTGTACCAAGAGATTTGAGAGGAGAATTTAATCTCATCAGCCAAACAAGAAGAAAAAAATGAATGTTTCAACAAGACAGGGAGGGACACTTGTAACTTCGGGGAATTTGATGGTTTGCCAAGAGGAATTGGTCAAAATGAAACCACAATGCTGCAAAATTATTTTTTAATAGACACATCAAAGCTGTAACTGCCAACAACGGCAACACAACACTAATGTTATTAACATGTGGTGTCTGCATATTTCTTTCCCTATCAGTTTTGTTTTTTGAAACTTGTTTGTTTATGCTTATGAATACATATCTTTTTATTAATATATTTGTAAGTACAAAGCCAAAAGACATTATGAACTACAAAAAACTACAGTGTCTGAATACTTGTGTGTAACTAGCAAACAATAATGTAAAGTACTACATTATTACAGGGCTTAAAAAAATCTTTTGTTAAAAAAGGGAACAGGAGGTCAGAACAGGAGCTAATCTGCCTTATATCTGACTGTTGTTGACAGCCTAAGGATGAGCTACAGCTGCCACCTTCCGGTTTTCACCTTGAAAAGTGTGTTACAGTCTCATGTACTAAAGGTAAGATAATAACACTAGAATGAAACAGCACTCTCAGTAATGTATTCATTGTTAAACTAGGTGTCAAATGTATTTTGCATGAAAATACCTCTATGAATATGGATCACAATGATAGTGATCAGAAATGAATAGAAAAAAAATGTGTCTTAAGAGATTGACAATCCATCCAATCTCACAAAAAACAGGCAGATAAAGCTTTCATTAATTTCCTTTTTTGTGTTGCTAAGCATTTAAACTCATATTTTTCAGAAGACACAAATCTCCCATCACACAGACTTTACGGTCCTTCACTTACATAACACAAAAAAGAACTTCTTACCACAGTTTCTAATGCATTTACTTGTATATTTTAGCAATGTTTTATAGCAAACTCCAGCAGTACTTGGGCATTAAGAGGTTTTTTTTCCACCTGTGTACTTCAGTACACTGAATTTGCAAATGTCACCATGACTGCCATGACTGTGAGGGTTGAAAAAGTAAAAGTTCAAACTAATTCAAAAGCATTTCGGCCACTTCAGCTAAACCATTAATGTATTATTTTATTTTTGTTTTACTTTAGGGCAAATATTTGCAGCTGTTTTTAATTGTAGTATATTATAATTCAGTATATTCAGGTCTGTTAATTTGCAGTACTAGCATACGGATGTAAATGATTAACCAATTAACCATTAACTGCAAATGAACAACTGTTCGACCAATGCCATCATGATTTTTTTTTATTTTCAATAAACAACAGTTCCTATTTGAATATAATTACCTATAATACATGAGG